GGTTCGTCTCGCGTGTTTTTTCTCGTGGGCCTCGTGTTTTCTGTCGTCACTTGACACCGACCTAAAGCAGCACCCGGCGGTATACTACGGGCGACAAGGCCGTGCACTGACGCGTCGCAGCGTCTCGCGTCGGGCACAAGTGACAGGCCCCACAATGGCAGAACATCACAGCTACGTCCGAGGTCAATAAGTACGGCTATTCTACCAGTTATCACAAACTCGCCTGGCATCCTTCGAGTAAAAATTGAGCAATTGCAACCGCTGCGGCAATCGAACGGCCGTAATTCGCGAGGCTGCGTCCGCTGGTGAATTCGTGCCGTTCAGTGGTAACCCGGGGCACAAGAATGCCAAAATTGCGGTTTATTGCCAGGAATGAATCAACCTCGAGTATGGCAGAGTGACTCCCTTGGCTCGCACCCGTCGGCCCTACAATGCACTCCCGCCCAGCTCCAGGTCGATTCCTGTTTTCGGCCATGCAATAACCTTCTATCGGCAGCAACTTTCCAGCAAACTCGGTCATGATGCGTGATATAAGTATTGCCAGACTTCACCTTTGGAGCATTCGATTGGCTTGCGGCCACGTTTGGGAGGGAAAAGTTATCTTCATACCAGCGGTTTGGCAAAAGGTCAATTGATTACCCCAAGCGTGCAGTTATGAGAACGTGTTGCCAGCTTCGTTCGCAAAGCGGGCCATGGCCGCAGCCAGGGGTATCGCTTTCTGCATTGAGAGCAACTCACCATGCTTGTGGTATAGATGAGCTTCCCTAATAGCAGCCCACAAAAAGAACCCCGATTGGACCCGCGGGAGCGGCCGAACCACGGGTTTCTCACTAACTCTCCATATTAGCATGATTTCCAGGCGACGAGGGTGGTCGAGTCTCACTGCGGTGTAGTCTGGCATCGGCATAGGCAGACGAGACACGAGGTAACTGTCTCGCCTCATTTACACGTCAAAGGGCCCGGCATTACTCCGCACAGCAGGGATGAGTGGGCTACATCTGTCAATGCATAACTCTAGGCAGACTTCCAGCCGTGTCAGTAAAGGATGTTACTGGTGACGAGAGTCATGTTATGTTGTTCTGAGGAGGCTAGGAACTGACCTGAAGATTACCGCGCTCGTGGCGAGAGATCCGGGGTGGATCCAATGCCGTGGCCTACAATGTCGCTTGCTCGGCTGCAGCCAGGCTCTAACAGAGCTGGTCCTCATAGTGTGGCCAAAAGCTCAGTTCATTCCAGATTGATTCTTCTATTGGGGAAACCGTGGTCCTCCTCGGTGGTCGTTAATGCTCGGCTTTTTGCTGTCGCCGGACGCTGCGATAGCTCAGTCGGTCTATCATGGGTCAAGATCAAGCCTGTCGATATATGGAAGATCTTTCACGCTGTGACGGTTAACCTTTGGTTGGAAAGGAGGGGGCATGTGGGAGATGAAAGCATGTTGGAACTCTACCATATGCAAATCAAAGAGGACTCAGCTTCCCTGGGGGTTTCCCGTCAACACCAGCGAAATGGGCATCTCAAGCAAATGTCTCTGAAACAAAAAAAAGCGAAACATACTGATGGCCAGTGGCCTGACCAGTCGTACATCCTCAATTTTGAGGGCGATGGGAAAGTGTGGACCGGCCTTGATGATTAGCTTCTTGGTATATGTTCTATGGCTAGGCAGAGGCATCATAAATGTTTCTGATAGTCAGAGAGCAAGGCGAGATCAAGAATGAAGAAAGTCACATTCGCATGAAATTCAAAATGCGGCCCCGGCCATGGGAATGGGTAGAGGCGACGCACCAGGGTGAATTAGAAGACATTCGGGGGCTTGCAATCGACTATTTGCCTTCCTATGAAGCGTCAGCACGAAGTAAGTAGTCTTGAAACTGCCGCAATGATAAAAACTTACGCTGTCAGCTATAGTTGTCTGCTACATTCTAGCACGATCAAAGCAGTTGCATAAAGCATGTCATCAATCTCTGAATCATAGTAAGTAGGCGGCTTATGAAGGCACTTTATAACTCATTTTCTTAGAACTCACTTTCCCGCAGATTCGACTGTATTTGAAGTTTTCCAAGGTCTGTCTAAGGATTTGCCAGAGAATGGGTGGGTCGGCACTGATGTTAGACAACTCCTCGTTGTCAGATGCTGCTATGGCTCGCTCGGTCTAGCATGGGGTCGGGTTATGGCTGCCGACGAGGCTTCGGACTGGACGTGGGATAAGAGGTACGGAGCCGTCAAAATACGGCAAGTTCCTAATATATTGACCGTTAACCTTTGATCAGACAGGGAAGTGGTAGAGAGATAAAAAAATACTCTGGAATGTTACCACATGGCTAACTGGAGGGCATCAATCCTTCCTGAATTGGCACGCTAGCAACGCCAGGCGAAGTGGCCCTGGCAACCACATCTTCAGACAAACCGAAAGGGCAAGCAGACTGGGAGTCAGCGGTTTGGCCCAGCAGAGTGCAATATTGACATTCGCCCTATGAGGAGAAAGAGACATTAGCGATATTTCTGAAGAACAGAGAGCAATAAACAGATGAATTCCACAGTGATATTCAAAACGCAGTCCCGGCTTTAGAAATAGACAGTGGCAACGCATGGGGCACTTACAAGACATGGGTTGGCTCATAGGAAAACAATTGGCTTCCTTTATAAAGAGTCGTTAGCACAGGTAAGCTACTCTTGAAACTGCCATAGTGATCGAATCTTACCTTGCCAGCCACCGCTGCGCGTGATATTCCAGTGTGGTCGACCCGGTTTGTAAGTGGATGGTTTCGATCTATGATAAACCATCAGTAGGTAGCTTATGGGGCTCTTATAACTCACTGACTTCGCAATCTGAGTTTATTATTGAGACCAATCCAGTTCCTTGAATTGAACTTCCAGAGAAGCAGAGACGGAGCTGGTGTGAAATATCCTCCACGTTAGCATGATGTCAATTATCGGGTAGCTAAGCTTACCTGCCGTTTACGGATTTCGATGTCGAGGATAGGCAGACTAGGAGCGATACAACAGGTCAGTTCGATCACACGTGCATCACAGTTTCGGGTCAGGTCAGTCCATACCGAAGGCAGCTGGCGAAGTCGAGAAGTGCCCGATGTTTTTTGCAGGATGATGTGTAGAGGAATATTTGAGAACGATCATTCTACTAGCGAAAGCCCAGGTACTTATAGCATTGTACCCAGACCTGACTTTTGCGCTGATGTCATGAATGCTGCCAATTGTGAGGGTCTCAACACCGCTGGCCCTCAAATTGCAGTTGACCTAACATTTAACCTTTGATTGAGGCAGTATTCGGCGACATCACGACTTCTTGTCCATTCTGTTGGTAACTGAGTATAACCAAAAGCCCACCTCACTGTTTTTCTTGTTTCAACACGCACTGTGATGCCGCAGAAAAGCGCCGACGACACGTTCAACATTCATCAACATGGGTATACACGTTATCGTGATAGGAGGGGCGGCAAGTGGCTGTTCGACCATTCTGTGTTGGCGGTGTCTCTGTGTACTGCTTCCGCAGGCTGGTAACCAGGGGTTGGCAGTGTTCACTCCCCGAACGGAGGCCAAGACTGATGATGAAGCAGGTTGAGCTCTCCGTCGAGCCGCTCGATCACCATCATTTTATCAAACTGTTCTCCCTCCTCCTGGGCCCGCCTCAGACCATCAAGGAAGGTATTTAGTGCTTCCGGCGTAAAGGACCTGCCTGTTTCAGACACACTGCCTCAGTCGGATAAAGGTGGCTGCTGTGCCTGAACGTCGACCTTGAGTTCAGATGCAGTGCATATCTAGCTCTCGCTCCTGGCCCCCTTCCGTTGTCAGTTCGTCCTGGCTCCATCCGAGCTGTACTATTTCCAACAATATTTGAGTACTTTCACTCAGGGCATCGCCACTTTTCGGAACCGTGGGAGGTGAACGGCAACACGATACACTTCCCCAGCACTGATTAACGTTGTGATGCTTCGGGTGGGCCATGTGAATGACTTCTTTGACTTAAACTACATAGCATAAACACTCAATTCGTGGGTCCTAATGGCTCAATTTATACGCTCATTTCAACATCTGAGCTGTTTGGCTGATGGGAAATGCGTTCGCTCGCTACGACGTCGTATCTTTCCCCATCGGCGGGTAGTGTGTGGAGCGTGGGAGCCAGTTCTGCGTTGGCCTGCAAGTTCTCATTCACGTTTGATTTTGATTGAGCAAAAAGATTTTGGAGAAGATGTCCGAATATTCAAAAAGTTTGTTATGCTCATGGAGACTGGACACCATGAATATGGGCTGGGTTCCTTTCAAACTAATTTTCACCTCATTACTGGCTGGTTGTGGTACCGAATCGCTGTGGGGAGATCGTGGAAGCAAGAACTGATTTTGCTCCTCTTTCTGGATCTCTACGCTACATATTTGAGACGATCGTGGATAGAACGCTGGCTCCACACTTCAAAACCTGCTCTTAATATGCTCGATATCAAAGTAATCATCGACGCCGGCCTATCCGCAAGACTCTCACGGAAGTTAAAGAACAGCCATGCTTTCAAGAGCTAGCTAATCTAGTCTGATATTATGTAAACAAAATGATTTGATGTCTTTAGAGACTGGAAATTTGGAAAAGAAACCAGCTTTTGTGGACTTTCTTCTGGGCATAGGCTTTCTGCTTTCGATCGTATGGTTAGAAAAAAAAGCACATGTATGGAGGAAAAACTAGGAAATGCACTTCTTACTCAAGCAATTCGAAGCCCCGCTTATTCTAGAGGGCATAGTTGACATATCTCATGCTCCCATGATACTCAACTGCTTGTACGACACGGTTTCTTTCACCGAAGCTGACATGCGTGACCCCAGATCTCGCCTTATAATCTGGCTCATAGCTCCGTTTCGATAGACCAAGAACCCTCTGGGAATGGTATATGACTAGACCTGGTTGCTCTGCTCTGGCAGCTTACTGAGCTTCCATGTCACCTAATTGCTCCATGGTCTCCGTGAGTTTCTGTTGCGGTGGTATTATGTCATCCGGAATTCTAGAATGCCAACCTGGTTAGATAACTTATACTGTAGGAGCCAAATGAGAAGCCCGAAACGTACATCAGAGCTGCGCCATACACGCATTGAAGTGCCAAATGGCATGCGGTAAGCCCATCGTAAGACGGAGAGTTCGTAAGGGGAGTGGAAGAGAGCTCGCGGCAGTCTATGGTGCAGCAATACAACGAAAAGACATTCGACACGACCTCGCTGCCTAGGGAGCCCCATTGTTCAGCTTTGAACTCTTTGATGTTCAGAAGAAGACTTCCCATCTGTGCCATCATGCCAATGATTCGCGAATGCAGAGATATATCTCGCTGAACAATGTCAAGATATCTTTGGACGTTGACTAGAGCTTGATCCAGAGCTCGTCTAGTGACAGCATCGATGCTGCCACCCACTTTTGAAATCGAGAGTGTCTTCGGAATGTCTGGCTGATCTTGGTTCAGTAAAGACATGGATGTTGCCATGATTGGTTCCCACCTGGAGGTAGTGGTTATTCGACGTAAATTCAATTGACATCTCCGAATGAAAACACGGACGCTTGAATCTAGATGACAAAGATAAGATCACTCAGTTGTAGAAATGGCTCGGTTGGTTTTCCTTGTAGAGAACAGGAGATAATCAGGGCGGATTGCATGCATTTATATGTTCTTCGCCCATGACCTCGCTTTGGGCCGGGTGTCGTCCATAATGTGCAATGGTATGGTAACGAGCTCTGTCATTCCCAGGACTCAATAAGCCGACAGCTAGGCCAGGGCCAATCATTTCTACCAAGGCTATATGGTGCATGTGGGACATGCATGGACCCGATTGGCTCATTTTCTTTGGCAAACTTGATTTAGCATTAATAGCATCCAATGATGCTATAATTTGGACGACCCACATGCCCCTGGGAACCATTGCCTGATATCGGCCAATAATTTAAATGAAGACTCGTGTATGTGTGGGTATTGTAATCCATGGCACTAATTGAGCCATATCTGCTTATTGTAGTACCTCTTTCTCGCATTTACTTCGTTCCCAGGAGATTGGTGTGGATATTGCCTTGACAAGACGAAGATGACGGCAGACAACTGTGTTGAATTCCGAAAGAGGAAGTTGACCACCTTTCTTAGCTCTGGCTAATCTTTCAGCGCGTGCTTAGATTCTGTCAGCGCATGGAGTGGTTATTTACCACTAGCATGCGGTTGGTTACTCAGGAACCCACATTTCTTTGTGTTTTGTATGGTAAATTGGTTCAACCGGCAACCTCGGTGTATTAACCACCGAGTATACGCACATACGGTGGTATTTCAACTTGCCCTCGATCGCATGCATGTTTCGATTCGATCAATTAATCATTTTATCCTGAATTGGCTCCGCTTGATCTCATTCGCCCTGAATGCATACTAGTCCATACGCTTTTAGCAAGTGCTAATACATGATAACCACGGGCTTTACTTGTCAATTCTAGGTTTCCTCTCAGCTGGGAGTCGTAAATCAATTGTCCTTCAATATGACATAGTAAGTGCGATATCAAGATATGAAACGACCACCTCGCTAATTTTTCTTCCGGACAACGGACGGAAATGCTGCAATGTACCCATACTCACCGAGGCAACATATCTTTTTTCCTGGGTGGAAAATCGCCTTTGGATGACTTGAACTGGAAGCCGAACTTGGAAGCAGCGCGAGCCACAATACGTTTTGCAATCGCCACGGGCCGGCTCGACGCCGCTTAGCCATATCGACCAACACACATTAACCCTACCCCACCCCATCCCCAATCTAACCCTCACCAACTACCTTGTGCCAGAGATGATAGACGCGCTTCAACTGCCGAGGATAGGATTTTGAACACTTGGAGAAGCGCCTTCAAGCAAGTCTACTAACTAAACACTAACCCACAAGGACCCGCTAAGATATTGACATTTGAGATGACACAAACTGAAAGGATTCTTGTATGGGCTCCAAGGAGGCACAGCATTAGCGAAAGCATGTATATTTAGATCAGTGATAGTTGCCCTTTCGGTTCAGCCGCCGGGCGTTAATGAATTGTGTGTGTGTGTGTTTAACGCTGGGTAACATATCCCCACAATGGCTGTGATCACAGCAACGAGCCTCGGGGATGTCATTATACCTAAGTTCTTGTCCCTGTTTCCGAGTTCCATCGACACAGCGTTCATGATGAGGTCTTACATCATCAGACCCTGTGGCTGTTCCTAGTAGCTCGATGAGGTACGCATGGGCATGAATATCGTCGTGCTACTGAGTCAGGTGGCTGTATGACAAAATGATTCTATATGAAATGAGTGCTCAGTCAACAAATGTTGGTCTTATTTAATAGTTTTTGACGATTGGAAAGTGCCGTTGTTGCCAGCGGGAAAAGCCTTTTTCTTTTCGTCCCACAATGTCTCCACGTTTCAAAAGACTACCGATAGGACTGAGCCCCCCTAGTGTTAGAAACCGGCCGCGCAAAACCCCTGTTTTTATAGCCCCCTTAATGATCTGCTTCCTATTTCGCTGCGTAGGATTTTGAACCCGCTGATTTGCATTTTTGAGTGTGAGGGCCCTGTAGTGCTATTTGCCTGTGTGATCTTTGGTTTTCTATCTTCCTTATTTGTTTTGAGGTTTTTTATGGCATAGTGTTGTTGGATCACGACCCGAAGCTAAGCAGTTAGTTTGGGAGTTCGAAGAGATCTGGAATAGGTAATCAAAACGGCGAGTGAAGTTTTGATTAAGGTCGACAATATTCTGAATCAACTAATGCTGTATCACGGATTGTTTTATTCGTAGAGATAATCACACTTCATTATACATAGTCAAATGTACAGTAGCCATAGCGCGTGCAATTGATATAGCCACTGACCGGCACAAGTCGACTTAAAATGTTAAACCTCCAAAATAACATGCGAAACTAGCACTCATTTTCGAACTTTCTTCCACCGCACCACACTTGTCGAATATCACGCGTGGCTGATATTCTCTGCAAAGGATCGCTACCAAGGAGCACTAGGTTGGCTCGTTTGCCTACTTCGATGGCCCCGCGGTCCGTAAGCCGGAAGTACTTCGCTGGCAAAGAGGTTGCGGCCCGTAGAGCGTCAAGGTTGGACAATCCAGCTTCAACCAATAGCTCCAATTCCAAATGTAGGGATTCCCCGTGAGGGACACTGAAGGGTGAATTGGGTTCCTCATGGCAGTCCGTTCCTGCCAAAATGGGAATTCCAGCCTGATGCATGGCTGCCACGGAGTCTCTTGAATTTTCATACTTTTCAGCCCCTCCAGTTCTCCTCTTGGCCTGAAAGATAGCCCATAAGAGAGTTGGTTTTGACAAAAGGCCGAAGACAGCACCCAAGTCAGGTGGTTGGGAGACGGCTTTCATCATGGTAAGAGTTGGGACTGAGATACAATGATCTTCCAGCATGCGTGCGATCATCGGAGCATCAACCGCTTTGTTACGAGGAGAGTGCGTGATTACGTCTGCATGGGATTCTTGCGCCATCTGGAATGGAACGTATGCAGACGCATGAGCAATGACCATTTTGCCATGTTTGTGAGCTTCCTCAACCACGGCAGTCATTGTCGCCTGACTGGGCCCGGGAACATCCGAGATAATCTTCATGAAATCAGAACCCTCCTCGATACGCTCTTTGACGAAATTGGGAGCATCGCCCGGCCCAGATAAAAAGGCCGCAGGGGGTAATGGGAGCATATGGCTATGCAAACTTCCATTGATTGTTGCTGGTAATCCAGCACTCCGGATATCCGTTAATCCTTCGCGGTTTCGTAACCCGTTCATTTTGTCGGCAGGCCAGGTTGCCATATCTAAGCCGGTGGTGACACCCCACTTGGCCAGTTTTCGGAGGTGTCCGGTATGGTGAAGATGAATATGTGCGTCGATTAGCCCCGGCAAAAGTACACCTCCTTGGCCATCAACCTCGACTGCTCCCTCGACATGGTCAACGATAATCCCACTCTCAATGTAAACAGTGGTCGGCTCGGTGAGCTTTTCCCCGTTGAAGACCCGCACGTTCTTTATGGCAGTCGTCCCGTTATCAGTAGGAGCGGACATTTGGTGGCAGGGGGCGTTTAAACAGAGGGATTCAAAGGCATTCAGAATAAAATTCCACAAAGAATCGGAACGTGAGATGAAAAATGAGATACTTGTGGGCTGTTCTTGCGAGTAATATCGGCAGTCGGAGACCCGATTTCTATCATTCTGACGTGGGTGCGAACAAACTATGCAACGGTAGCAATAATTGTCACCTTTTAGCGGCAGACCTTCGGTGCCTGAAATCTAAGGTTGACAAGTATTTTTATCAATTTCCAGGTGTCCGCAGTGAAAGGTGAGGTGTCTCTATCAGTTCCCCCGGATGGCTTGTGGATTACGTTATTGGGTTCTTGGCAATGCCAAGATTGGGTCGAAAGTTGGGTTTTGCGGAAGTCTACCCTCAAGCTTTTGGCAGAGTTCATCTGGGCTAATGTATTAACCAATTCTTGCTTTAGCCCTTGACCTATGTAAAAAAAATTCGATCTGAAAATTCTTGTGCATTTTCGAAAATAAGGCTCATGATGGCCCACCCCGAATATTTGCAATCGGAGCCCCTTGTGCTTTTTTTGATACCCTCGCCATAGAAAATCAATAAAACATCGGAATTGTTGTCACGACACTAATGGCAGCGAAAAATTAACAGATGCCAAATCTTATTAGTTAACCCCTCGCCAAGTGTGGGACATGGGAGTGCATGACTTACGTGATTTCAAGAGGTGGATAACAACCCTATTACTTTCACCTAACTAACCATGGAGACTCTCATACGCGGCTGCGATGAAGCTCCTGAACTCAATAGCCAGATGCTCGGTATGTTCATCGATGAGAATCTGAGGTGATGCGACAGGGAAGATAATTCGCATTCTGAAATCGAACCCATTTTCTCTGTCTTGAAACTCCTGGAAACCGTAGAAAAAGATTGTCCCATCGTCTAGATAACAAGTAACAGCGAGTTTCTTGTCGTATGCAGAATTGCCATACTCTAGCACAAAGTCTGGTATCTCAGCAGTGATTTCGATGCGTACACGGCAGATGTGCTGCCCGATATTTTCAACGATACCAAGCGGATACGGACCGAGGGAATAATGCTCCGGATGCGCTGGTGCCATGTTGTCAAGATAGGGATGCCGTGTGCCCACAGATTTTCCGCTGGCGTCCACTCCTGTAAACCACTCTAGGAACTGAGACGATGTAATTCCATTGGCGCTGAAGTCAACACGAGACTCCTTGAATTGGCCGTTCGACCTGGCAATAATGTCTTTGAAGTAAGCATCGCCCTCCTCTATCTGCTTCGCAAGAAGGTCGAGCATCGGTTGCCCTTCAAGTAAAGTCTTCAAGTTTTGAAGACCTCTCCGGGCGACTTTTAACTCCCAAGCATCGATTTCGCTATTTGAAACGTTTCGGCCATTCGGCAGGGAACATTGGAGAGAAAAAGCCGACCGAGAAGCCATATTGCGAAATATACTTGAAATAGGATTTAATTGTCGCCAAAATGACGTACTCCGATGTGATGCTGAATCCTTTGAAGAGTATTCTTCCTTCAAGCATCTTAGCCGCATCTTTATAGGTTTATGATATTCGGCTCTCTACTATGTTACAGTACACAGCCGAATTCAATTCAAGCTCGGCGCGGACGAACGGCGGACCGAATACAGCAAATTACGGACCGATGTTACCGGACGAAGATAGCTTTGACGCGAAGCGGGATCAGGTGGAGCGCGTACAACCACGGAACTTCGGCATCCCCATTGCCCGACTCCATCAGAGTGTGGTTTGTGTTGACAAATCAAATCAATTATCCGAGCAACGTATGAGGTCTACAACGGAACTTCGGCATCCCATTGCCCGACTCTATTAGAGTGTGGTTAGTGTTGACAAATCAATTATCTGAGCAACGTATGAGGAACATTCCGGTACAACCGCACTCCGTTCTTCGGTATGTCGGTCCTTTGTGACTTTGGATTTGCCTGCATTTATTTTAGATGATGGATTACTTTGTCCAGTCATGGGAATGGAGAGGGAAACGCATCAATAGACGAATAACTCGACAAGATAACTTATGGGCGACAGTACACAGAAGAGTGTACGAGTGGAAATCCCGCTTCTGTGGAAGCCGTTGCCGATGAGCCTGTTGCTGCCGACCTTATGCTGCTACCGACGAGCCCTGCTGCTGCTGAGGGTTCCCCGGATAAATTCCGTCCGACGAAAATTTCTCTTGAGGATGTAGCTCTATACCAGAAATAGAGAAGCATGTCCCCAAAGAAGAGGGCTAAACTAACACGAACTCTTGTAGCAAGGGGTCTTCCAATCCCAGGGAAAGATGGCATAGTTTCCATCTTCGTCGTCTGAAGTTTTCTGCTTTGAATGTTTTTAGTGGTCTTCATATCCTATTTATTCTGCCGGGAATGACAGCTCTTAGTTCGCCCGGCCATGTTTGTTGGCCATTCTTCTGCGAGTGGCAAGCACCCTATATCTAAGGGCTGAAGAAGACGCGATGAATGCGCAGGCATACATAAAGGATATCGTTTCAGAGCATAGCTGATCAAAGCGTAGTCGCAATATCAACCCTTTAAACCACTCGCGTAGTACGCGTGGATCATCTTGCTGGACCCGCTGATAGTCATAGCGTCGAGAGAAAAGTAATTTGAGGTCTGGTGTACGTGCGATATACTGTAGTTGCTGACCCAATTCTTGCTGACTGGTTCGATTCCTCGCGTGGCGATCAGTAGATTAGCCATTTTTGCTACTACATGCGGGCTCGGAGCTGCCCCCCGTTCATCGATAGAAAAATCCACTTTTTAAGCGATTCTTCATCTCTTTGGGTCATCTTATGGCTGTCGGGGCGCGTATCAACGCGATTTGTGGTACCGCGGAGGCGTCGCGTAGCGTCGCTGCATCGCATATAGAGGTAAGTTCTTTGTTTTTAATGACTTGTATTGCAAATAAGTCGCGCCCTTCCTGGTGCGCTAAATCCTGCTCGGATATCTTGCGAATTGGCGACATGGTGGTTGGTAGAAAATAGACTTACGCGCGGAGACGCGAAAAACAAAGCGCGTGGTCGACTCGCTTGGGTGGCCCACTCGCATTGGAATTATGTCAGAGAAACAAGACTCTTTAAGACTCTTATAAAAAGTAAGAAATGCCACGGCGTTTTACAACGCGCCCGTTTCATAGCTTCGTGATGAACTTCCTACGGCAAGTCTCGAAAATGCTTTCCACAGAACAATTTAAACCATATATTGCCATTGGCATGGGAGCTGGAACTCTGCTCGTAGTCTATGTAAGAAGAGTAAAATGTATTCCACCCCCTTTCGGACAAGGCAACATGGCTTATCTATTCTCCAGATCTATTTATTTTCTAGCAGATCACTGGCCAGTATTCCTGGTCCTATCTTGGCTAGGACCTCACGTCTTTGGATTATCTGGGTGGACTACTCAGGCAGACGCACCAGTGTAATCCATGAACTACATAAGAAACACGGAATCCTCGTTCACATCGGGCCACAGGAGGTACCGCTCTCGTCTCGACAGGTTCTTTGCCATGCTGTTTCTGTTCGAAGGCACTTGTTGATTCGGCATGTGATAAGAAAAATGAAAAAGGTACATCAGGTGACCTCTTGGGAAATTGAGCTTTTAAGACCTAGGTGCAGAGTCAATAGACATCTGAAACGAGGTCAAGGCGGAGTTTGTCCCTGCCAAGAAAATGTGCCTGCATCAGGATCGTGAGCCTAGAAACTGGAGTGGCCATTTCCACACCGGACCCCCGTAGGATGCTAGCGCGAAGCACGATTAGACTGCCATTTGAGGGTGGACGTAATGATCGACCGGCCCGCACAAAAACCTATATTGATGCATTTAGTGATTTCGCAACATCGGCCGGAGCAAAAGGCTATTCAACCTCAATATAATGCAAATAATGCATTTTTGTCCTACTGCTCTTCGAAAGATACCATCTAATTAAACTATAGTCAGTCTCGCCTCTGTTTTAGTAGAACCGAAGTTCCAAATTGAAGTTTGATTGACCACTGCCACCGTCGACCATAGCAGATCGCTACAATACCCATTTTCGTAGCTCATCAAGCTTTACATCGAAGGATCTAGACCTTGCTTAAACAGGTTAGAAAACCCGATTGTAGTACCTATGGCAACTGCATGAGGCATTTCCTGCCGCCAAGGATCACTATTTGGGATCCTCCTCGATTGTCATGTGCGATTTGCATTCACCCCGGTCTCCGTTGCTTATATGACTGAGGTATGGCCATTTGCGCTCCGCGCTCGAGGAGTGGCTCTGTACTCCATGGTACTATACGCGGCACTTCTCTTCAATCTCTTCGTCAACCCTATTGCCCTTGCCGCTATCGCCTGGAAATACTACATCGTTTTTGTATGCATCCTTGTTGCCGCAACTATTACCATCTTTTTCACTTACCCTGAGACAAGAGGGTTCACTCTCGAAGAAATGGCAATTTTGTTTGACGGCGATGGCGTATATCGAACGGACCTCAAGGAAGGAGCCGAGAAAGAAGAGTTCACAGCTACTTTGCCCTCGTCAACCCACGAAGAAACGACCCCTTCATCATTTGCAAAAGCTCTTGCCAAGACCCCTGTTGATTTGACAAATACTGTGTTTAAGCCTGGGGTTATTTCAAGTCACTCGTAAATACACTTTGAGGCAGATTTTGGTGAGCCTTTTTTGAATGATGATTTAATTTAGTTCTCTCTAGCAAAGAATGGAAATGATTTCTGATTAGTATTCTAAGTGAACCTGCCTTTCTTATGTTGCCGAAAAGGAGTTGCAAAAGGTTTTCCAAGCTCTCGCATGCTCCAAGTCTTGTCCTTTAATTGCACGGCTATTTCCATCGACATTGCCAACTGTCAATTGTTTCAAACAGTGTTTCGAGTCTCATCATTGATTCAACGCGTATTTGAGGCCCTTCTGGTTTTTCTTGACAATCAAGTGTATCAAGGATTATCACTCACTATTGGGATAATTTTAACACCCTGCGATCCCACAGGAAAAGGCTGAAGACCTATTTCAACGTTCCTCAACGGAGGTCTGTCCGCTGTTGCTACATGAGGTACAGAAAGGTGATTTGTCGGTACCGTATTACTTATCTAGATCTCACGAAAGATTTTTGACCTCCCTCATATCCCTGAACCTCACCAACTCATTTCTGTTTTAAACACCAGACTCTGATTCTGCGAAACAATTCTCCTCGCAGATCTGACATGTTCTCCAATAATTCAAACGCCGTACAAATAAAACCGCGTCTTACCACATTCTTCCTTGCCACCATTTGGCTAGCTGTTGCCAGCCTCAGCTCCATAATTGCGTACTGTGCAAGTCTTCTGCTTGACCGCGCAACGCATGACCTAGCTAGTGGCAGCGGCTGGATTCTGGACATAGAGTTCAAACGCCTCATGAACACAGTCTTTGGTGGAGCACTCGCAGTGGCAATTCTTTCAGCTTTGCTTTCGACTTTTGGAACCGCTCTTCTTTTTCAGCCGAGATTACTGAGCAAGGACAGTCAGACTCGGGCTTTTTACGGCTGCATCCAACTTATGTTGAGCTTTCCTCTTGTATGTATCGAAGGTTACTGTACCTTTCCAGTCAAGTCCGCGGCTTTCAGTCCTCTTTCAAATTCTTCACAAGCCAGGACCATACTCCGTACTACGAGGTCATGTATTATGGCGCTACGAGCAAAGCTATCTTCGGCACTCTGGTGGCCATTTTTTATCTGGTTTATGTTTTCGCATGTCATTGATAAAGCCCCTGGTATCTAAAGCAGATAGAAGTGTCAATGAAATTTATTTTATTGCCATGAAGGACTGGCAACAAATGTTCACTGCAGATTCAATCAAGACGGACCATGGCTTTATTAGGCGGGAAGACGCCTTCAGTTGTTTCTTTCTGTCTTCAAGGTGATCTCAATTTTTGAGTAAATATGTGAGATAGAACACCATTATGTACAAAATTCCCACAACTGTAACGTGTCGCAAAAATCGCCTATATTTAATTTGGCATTTTGTACTTCTCAGGACACCGAATCGTGGTAACTGAAAAGAACCTTCATTAGATAGCAGCCAGGGTTTTACGCAAAGACGATATCAGTGTTCAGATCCTAATCTTTCACTTTCAGTAATAAAGAAAGTGCCATACGCCGATATTCTTGGTTTCCATCCACATAGTTACAGTAAATATACTGCTTTCTCACTGAAAAGACGTTAACCCGGCTAAAGCAACATCTGGATTTTGAACATAGTACAGTACCTCTGACTTCCAGTGAAAGAACATTGCTTGTGATATAAAGAGGCGCCAATCGATCACTGAAAGAAACAATCCTTCGTTTTTGTTGAGCTCCCTTTCTCTTAGACCCGAGAAGGATGCCCAGCGTCGCGTCGAGTGCCCATAATCCTGAGTGAACTTCCAACCCAGCATAAGAGCTGCGAGAAACATCCGTCGCTGACACTGTAGAGCCTGAAGCTCCTGGGGCACTTGAAACGGCTCAGTGGGAAACTTTTGCTTAATCGTGAACCGCAAGAGAGCTAGATAGTAGAACGTCGCGATGAGTGTATGATATGTTGTATGAAATCTCCGAAGGATATTTTTCAGATAAACCCGAAACCCCGTTGAAGTTTTGGGGCTATCCTTCGCTAGAGGAGACCAGAGGGTAACGAGAAATCTTTCCGAGAAATCTAACAACGCAATTAGATTAGGATCACGAGTTTCTTGGTACTAGATTACTTACCAATGAGATCTTCGATAGAGACAAGCCGTCTGATTCCTTTGTGCTCGCTCAAAAATTGAGCCACGACAATCAAATTCAGGGATAGCGAGAAAGAGAGATAGGCTTTTTGCCTGAATTTTGGGGGACAGGAAATGCAGAATTTCTATTCAGGGCGTTTGTAAGCATAGTTTGAAGTTGCTGGGCATCAACATACTGACCTATCAGTAGCACTCTTCGCATCCAAGACAAGTGAGCTGGTGCGTCTTTTTGCTTCAATCTCAAAGACGAGTTCAGCTTCATTCGATACCGGAAACAAAAGTATGTTGGCAGAGGCTAAGAGCTAGGTTGACGTATTCATATATAGATTGCGTCGTCTCTAGGAGATATATGTAGCTGATTATGATATTGTGCGTTTGATCGTGCTCGCAGAAAGAGTCATTAAGGATGAGAAGGGCTGGCATTTTTGCGGTCCATGTCTGATTAGAGGATGTCACGATAGCAGCTCTCTTGGTGACGAGAGTTTTGGTTTATCTGAAAAGCCGTGACTTGCCTCATAATCTGCACAGTCGCAGCAATTGTCGGTGACTGAGGGAAAATCTAAGGAAATCAACTCTCCAATTTGACCTGTTGCATACTGCACGGTCAAAATCGTGCTACTGCCGGCTAGACCAGTCTTCCCTGGGTGATGAACCATATCGAGTGTTTTTCCAACGTGGCTGCATCATTTTCATGTTGATCAACAGCTCTGTCCTAACATTCAAAGATCAACTGCTACCTATGCAAGATTTAGCCAAATTTCCTCGCAGAGGAATGGTACCTAGCTCGAGATTGGTGGTGAATGTTGAATCGCGTGATCGAAGCTTTTCTGCGGCATTCCCATGACTGCTTAAACGGTGCCAACAGTGGCAAACATTTTATCATATACTGTGTCACCAGAAAAACTTGTTATCAACGATGATAATTGATCAATTCGGTGATGAATATCTGACAATCAAAATCGTATAGATAAATCGGTATGTGCACTTGTCCACCAATATACTTTCGTATCATGTTGTTGAGATATTTTATTTTCTGCTTCCACTAGCATCAATGCCTGTCTGGCATGCTATTGTGAAGGTGTTGGTTTGCATTAAACATCATATTCCAGAGGCACTGCAAACAACACTAGTTTTAGCTCAGCAGGCAGGAGAGCATGGATGTATTCTGCATCTCTAAGTGCCGTTTTGACTCTTCTGACAGCAAATTTTAGAATATCACGAATCTCAAAAAGAACCACGTAAGCACTCGTGGTGCAATCTTTTTCCGTGAATCCCTATTGCCGGTTCATCTCCGCCTGCCAGGCCGGCAATTAAGGCGGCGAATACAGTCTCCCTATACGATCATCCCAAGACTTGTCTCCAAGAAACACGATTTACCGAATTGGCCGCCTCAGGGCCCCAAGAAACCGAAGCAATAAGAAAATTACTTGAGACATGTAGCTCGTATTATTTATGGCCTTCCGAAAGACGATTCCCATCCGACCCCTTGGCGACTCCGCGACTACAAACCTCCCACACAACACCACGCATTGCTTCGGCAGGTGGTATCGATACAATATCTTGGAGCAGCTTGTCAACCTTATCTAGCCATTTTTGAAGGATGCACCTCACGAAAAGGACTGGAAGGTCATCCTTCAAGATCTTTCGGGGAGATATAACCCTTGGAATACCGCTTCCGTGCCGCCCTGGGCAAGGCACCGTACTCGCTTCACAAGGAATTACCTCGAGAGAACCGGCTCACTTTCGATGACAGCCATTGCCAGATAGACACCGAGAGTACATATGAAAGGGCCAAAGTTGCGCAAATGCTTACACGTAATCTTCTCCACAAAGGTGGCTGCATTGCGAAGATACATCTAGATTTTTATGCTCATTCGAGGTTCTCTCAATTGGTAGCGCTTCACAAGAACAAGGGCCTTCTGGGAGACTTGTCTCAGAAACAGAGCCCTCTCAAAAGAAGATTCTTGTCCTCATCAGCTCCCCAAGAAGACATTCTTAGGAACCAATGATTCACATGAAGATACTGGTTGTACCGCGCACCGCCGGGCAAATTGTTTCATCGCTCCCCTGCACGTCCCACAACGCGAGCGGCCATTGAAATCAGTTTCTCCTCCTTCCCTAATCCTTCTGTAGCCGCAATGGCTTTCTCTTCGTGGGCGGAAATCAAGAAGATCGCATTGGTATCATCCGCTGTTGCTGCAGGGTAACAATGGGCTGGACGAAGGCACTTGAGGCTCACATCGTAGAGCGTATATCCTTTGCAGGAGTACTTCCGTGCGAGCCGCTCCATGGGTGATGGATCCGACCGGTCTACGAGGAGACAGTCTGATTGATTCCACTGACCTCGCTCGAGTGACCAGAATTTAATCTCGATAAGCTGTTGTGTAGACGCTTGGCAATTGGGGTCGGCATTTTTTGTTCCGATGTGCTCGATCTCTCTGTATGTTGCTTCCGCTTGCTGATCAGCAGAAGTCGGCAGTGACAAAGTCTGAGTGTGACCTGATTGAAGCAAATCTCTCACCGGAGCTTGATTATGATAGAGCAGATTGAGCTCTTCATTGAGCCGGTCGCTCTCCATCCTTTTTTCCAACTCCTCTTGCTCGACTTGGGCCCTCCTCAGGCCATCGAAAAAAGCTTCTAATTCTTCTGATCTAGAAGGATCGCTTTCTTCGGACAAGATGACCGTCTCTGAGGAACGTCGTTGCTGTGCTGCAGGATCGATAGGTGTCTGAGCAGCAATTCCGAGGGCAGATCCAGTGTCTGGGCTGGGTTCCTCTCCTGTTTCTCGCTCGCCCTGACTCCATTCGAGTGAGACTGTATCCAACGAGATCTGGGTGCATTCACTCATAGCATCTCCAAGTGCTGGATCAACTCCGGGTAAGCAGCTAGAAGGGACCATTTCCAGCACGGATTCGCTCAGTGACCCTCTGGGAGTAGAGTGATTTCCATCCGATGGACTTCTTTGATCAAAGCTGTCCTGGTCTAGAGCTGGCTCCAGAAAATCTAGGTCCATAGGCTCGGGTGCAATTTCTGAATTGTCAGTCTCGCAGCAAACTAGCTGGCGTGTTGTAGTGTTGCTCCTTCTGAGAAGAGATGACCTGCCTGATGTGTCTATGTGCCGTCCAGACGTATCCAAGCCCGGCGCACCCGGCACACCGTCCTTTTCAACAAACAAGGGCGATTCCACTACCTCTTCCAACCTTTGGTCTGCCTTCAAATTGCCGCATTTTCTGTTATTGATGGGATCAACCGTTGGCGACTTCCCCAAAAAGGCGAAAAAGACACAACGCCGAACAAAAAAGCTAGTGATTGTATCGGCGGCATCGACATCAGCATGCAATCGATCTAAGAATAAGAAAGGGGCATCTTGCACATGGGTGCGGGTCTGCGGAACCCCAGAGCGAGCGTGCGCCTTGACGGTGCTGTCTGCCAAAAGATCTCGCGAGGGACCAGGCCGATCGGGCACAGCTTCAGTAAAACAATCTACAATCCGGCGCACCAGAACATCAAACTGCTGGTCATCGTATCGATATCGGCCTGGTTTTCGGGCCTGGAGAAGGGCCGATCGTGCGATTTCGTGATCTGGAGAACTGCTCAGCAGCCCGTCAATTTCTGGGGACCTAAACCCGAGCTGGTGAGCAAAATGGGCCATGTCGTAAATCGCGCGCGGGTCCGGCTTAGCGCGACTCGGTTTGGCCAACAGATCATTAGTGTTCTTGGGGTCCGGGGGCATCAGAGGGTAATATCGCATGGCATAGAGCCATACCTGTTGGTATCCGGTCTCAAGGCATTCTGCTTCGGTCGCACGTATGTGTCGGAAAGTAGACTCTGAGGTCTGAATGATACACTTCCCTTTCTCTCGGTGATCTTCCTCGGACTCCGAGTCTGGGTCAAACATCGAGCTTGTGGCTTCTCTCACAGATCGGGGGGGATGGGCCCAAGAGCCGCTTCAGACAATGAGCGCAGCTCTCCAGGTACTTAAAATCCTCAAAGAAAGTGTACAAGGACGGAATGAGACCATCAAAATCTTTCATTCTGATCCATATCGCGCTTCGCTCGTCACCACTGAATTCGGCAAACACATGGCCACTGAGAACCAGCCCGCACGCCGTCTTTTTATCAGTGCGTGATTTACCCGGTGCCAGTAACTGCAGGGTGTGGACGGTATCTTGATCGATTTTCTTCATCAGACGCCGATCCGATACGACCAGAGAAGACCAGAAGTCCAAGATGTGGTCAACATAGATTGCTATCTCCTGAGAGGTGGAGAGTTGTGGTTAGCCAGCAAAAGACAGCAGCTTGAGCCTGAAACTCACCTCAACGCAGCCCGAGGCGATTAATCGATGAAGCAGGCTGATTCTCATTCCGCCCGGCCAAAGTCCAGGAATCGTCAACAATCGGTCAAATGCATGCCGGAGGCGACGGTTCTTTTTATTGTCGAGTTGATCTAAGCGTTCTTGATTGCTGGGTGACAGTCTCACGAACCATCGCTCTCGGAAAGCTTCGTTACCCTCGCCTTCATACTGTCTGATCTTGTGATAGACCTCCCCGTCGGTCGGCTTCTTTTGATGAGAATATTCCTCCACCAACGCGGCTCTGAGTTCTTCACCAATGTCTTGATTGACGGTCAGTATCGATCTGCTGAAAATCAAGGGTTCGTTACGTACCGTCAGTATAGAGATCAACCGTCCACCAGCGATCCGCTGGGGAGAGTACCTCGACGCCAGCTTGTATGCGATGACGGCCATGAAGACCCCTAAGTTGCCCCTTCCGAAATTCTAGCCGGGGGATATGGCGGCCTTCGGTTGTCAGCAATGATTCCTGTAGAACATTCGCCTTCTGCAATGCCTCCGCGAGGTTATGTCGAGACACGGTCGCGGGCACATGGTTTTGGACATCGAGGCGGCGACAACGATTCTTACGAAAGATGTTTCGTAGCCGATCCAAATTTTTGTGGTCCAAGTCCCGTGGCAAGGGAGGTTCAATTTGGATTTGGCGGATGCTGACTTTGGCTGCACCAATGTATTTGAGTCGTCGTTCTGCTGCGAGTCGCACCTCTTGCTCGGTGAAGACGTGTCGAGTCATGGTGTCAGGATGGAGATGGGTTTCAGAGTTGGTTTGGTTTTATTGGGCGTGAATGCCCAGATATATATGTGTGTTCATAGATTCCCTTGTTGCGGTGGTTCAACGTTGGCACCGCGTTTCTTTGCCTGTGAGGCTGTGACCCAACACCCTAGTGTTCCAAATGCGCATGCGCGAAATGCCCATTTAAATTGACCAGATTCTCTCTTTGCGTTTCACGCTCCTCTTTTCTGGTTACAACTATTTGCCCAAATTATATCCTGCTTCCATAATGCGAAAACTTGGCGAAAAAAGAGTGACAAGAATCCAGGCCGCTCAGGTTGCATTGCTCCGCCAGCCGCAAACCCGAACAGAAGTATCACCGATAACTGACCTCAAGCCCCGCCCACCACCTCTCCATCTGGGACCCGCACCTGGAAAGAGGCCTGCGACCTCCTCAACCCCAGAATAAACCGGCAAGGAAATTCGGTTGATGCCCAGAAGCTCGCCTCGCCAGGAGACTAAGCAGTGGGAGAGCGATAGCGGTCCGGGCATAACAGCCAGAAACGAATCTCCCTGGGATACTTTCAGAAAGTACTACGATTGTGATTTAGCTGGCCTCGTCGCGGTATGCGTTCGATCCTCTGGTGACCGCGGCGTCTGGGCGGTGCGCCAGTATCCTATTGAGGACGCTGACAAGGTTCTGCGGATCCTCCGCTCCGTACGCCATAGGAACCTGGCCTCCATTCGGGAGTGTTTCCGCACCAAGGATATTATGTACACGCTGGGTGAGTTTGACCCTCTCGTTCTGGATCATATTGTCGCTTGTAAAGCCTTCCTAGACGAGCGGGAGCTGGCAGCCATTATGTCTCAGGTTTGTTCCTCATTCCCTCCCACCTACCTGTCAAATGGCAAACATGCTGATTCCGTACAGCTCGTTGACGGGTTGTTATATCTCATGACCAACAACTTTTACCACACATCTCTGGATTGTACTAGCGTCCTCGTTAATCTCAATGAGCACGTTAAGATCGGTGGGTTCAATTCACTGATACCTCCAAAGACAACCCTACCTAACGAGGCATGGCAGCACGGATCGATTGCTGTGTAATTCGGCAAAGGGGTATAATCGACATCAGCGACCTGGCGCCAGTCTCGAGAATCATGATGGAATTGATGCAAAAATAGGTCAAAGAAGATGGAGCAGTAGGAATTAATAATCTCGACCGCTGGAGAACCTGCCTGGCTGCGATCGAATTTCTCTGTGCGACGACCTCGGCAAGCTCTTTTGAGGAACTGAAAGAGATTTGTCTCCCTTGTGTTGACTCTAGAGCGAAACTCTCGAATAGTGCTAATGGTGTCTAGCAACGCCTGCTGACGGACAATCAATGCTGCCCAGGGGATCTCATCGGCCTTGCATGGTTCGCGTTGATTTCGAGACGTACATTTTACTCTTACACGCCCGGGCCACGTTGAACTATGTGAGATTAGAGCGGGATTTGAAAACGACGCCCCCTACTCCGCGAGCCACAGCGGCGGTTTCTTAACCAGCGCAAAAAATGCATACACGGCACAGTGCCCGAAGGTCGTCCTGTTCATCATTGTTGAAGCTTTTGGTCTGCTGTTTGAAAATATACGCGTTTCAATTTTGATAGATGATATGTTCCATTCGGGATTGCGGGGAGCCCCTCCCCCTTGCGTCGGGTTCACGATATTCCGTGTTGGACATCGCACACAGATATCGCTCGTTTATTCCCTCCCTCGAAAGGAACATCGCCATTTCGAGGGAGAACCGGGCTCTCTCCGCAAAGGTTTCTTCTCGCCCACCGTAGAGCCCCTCATGTATGTACCACGCATGCTTCCGCATAGCTATCTTCCCTACTAAGAATTTACGGACCCGCCTGCAGCCCTCACAGCGCTGTAGCCCTCTGTCAACGAGGCCTACATCGCCAGTGTTTAGACCGCAGGTGCCCCGCCCGGGCCAAAATATCTTGCTCGTCTGCATTTGCAACAGTGTACCAATGGTTGGAATAGAAACATGTTTACTGTGGCGGACCCACCCGCTACTGGCGATTGATCAGGGTTCTCTCAAACAACTGGCCAGACAGGAGAATGTGGAAGACTCTGTTTTGTGTCAGGACAAAACCCCGAGGATCCTCCACAATTTTGGATAAGTCAGCTTGCCCATTGGTCATATATTTTACACGTATAAATTGCTAATTTTGAAACACTATGGAATCGTGATGAAGCGGAACGCGATCACGGAGGATCGGAAGTCACAACCCCGTCGCTCTCTTGGCCTGCCTATTCGTATTTCCAGTTGAGCAATCTTTTGAAGGCCTCACGTTTCAGTCCTGCTTCGCGATAACCTAGAAAAACACATATTTCCTTTCCCCCCTTTGCGTCTTTTCTCTCGTCTTTTGGGGTAGCGAAGCTCAATAATGAATGATTTCAGATGAAACCAATTTCCAGTCTCTCAGCCTGTTCCCGTCCGCGGACCAACATGTTCCCCGCTGTGGATCTGAAGCTCGTTTGGCGGTCATTCGTCCGTGGACTTCATGTCATGAGATAAAAGAAATACCTTTGACAGCAAAGGGTATCCCATACCACCTAAAAAAACCTTCTCTCACGATGACTACCACCCAGCATATCAAATCTCGGTTCCCGGATCTGAATTTTGTCAAGCCTATACCAGTTCATGCCCACCCGAGATACAGACCATTCAATGTCAAATTCGACCCGAAGCGCGATTTCCTGCCAAAGGGCCATGCAAAAGAAGAGGGGCGGAAGCAAATGCTCGTCGACTCTATTGTTCACCGCGATACAGCAATCCCTCTTCGAGATGGGCTTCATGTGTATGCCGACATCTACCGCCCAGCTTCTTCGGATGAAGCCAAGGTTCCCGCAGTGATCTGCTGGAGTCCCTACGGCAAGTCTAGCATTAGTATCGATATCGCTTGGCATCGCTCCGGAGTCCCCAAAGACTGGACATCCGGATATGAGACATTCGAAGGCCTGGACCCCGCAGATTGGTGTAAACGGGGTTATGCAGTCGTGAACGTTGACGCCCGCGGCGCTCAGTTCTCCGAGGGATCATTCTTCTTTTGGGGTGATCAAGAAGCGGAGGATATTTATGACACTATCGACTACTTGTCAAAGCAGCCATGGTGCAATGGCTCTGTCTGCATGGGCGGCAATTCATACCTGGCAAAAGCTCAAGTCAACTACGCCTCCAGACAGTCCCATCCAGCGTTGAAGGCATTGGCTCCCTGGGAAGGGTTTACGGATATATATCGCCAACTTCTCCGTCGCGGCGGCTTTGCGATGCATAACACCTTCGTGTCGAAATACCAATGGGGTGTCGCTGGCAACCATGAAGTTGAGGATATGACCCAAATGGTGAAAACTCATCCGCTTTTTGACGAATACTGGGCCGGGAAGAATGATGAAGTTGAGAAAATCAATGTCCCCATGTATTTGTTGGGGTCTTTTTCCAACCCTTTCCATGTTTACGGGTCCTTCGATACATATCGTCGCGCTGGTTCAACGAAGAAATGGATGCGCGTCCATGCAACATTCGAATGGTATGAAATGTACGAGCGCAACTCGAACGATGATCTGCAGCGCTTCTATGATCGTTATTGCAAAGGAATTATGAATGGCTGGGAAACAGATACGCCTTCTTTGCGCTTGTCTCTTCATGGATTCGGAACTGTTCCGAACATTGTGGAAAGACCGGAAACCGAGTTCCCACTTCGCCGACAAAGGTTGCAATGCTACTATCTCGATGCGGCTACCGAGTCAATGAATCTGACTCCTCGGGACCGCAAATCCTCCGTTTACCACGACGGACACGGCCTTGAGGCATCTACCTCTGTAAGTAATCAGACCGTCATTTGCTTTTTCACTTTCTTTCTGGGTCGACACACTAACAACAACGGCCAGGAATTTGTGCTGAAATTCGATGACTACACTGAGATCGCCGGATATGCCAAGGTCCGCCTGTGGATGTCCTGCGAGCAAAGAGATGATATGGATGTTGCTGTCCAACTCCGTAAGATTGATGAATCCGGCAACCTGTTAGAGGGTGTCAACTTCCCGTGTCCGATACCAGCAAGCGCGATCCCCGATGCTGAGACATCCAAGCTTTACGGGCCTCAAGGGTTCCTCAGAGCGTCTTCCTCGGTCTCCCTTGACCCGACACGATCAAGCTCGGACGGACAGGAGGTTTTTTATCGACACGATCGAGAGGAAAAGATCACCCCAGGAACTATTGTTCCATTGAATATCACTCTGTGGCCCACGGGTATGGTTTTCGCAGCTGGGGAAGGCCTTCTGCTTCGCATCGGAGGTCACTTTTTGAGTGCGCCTTCGGCCGCAGCGATGAAGCCCGAGGAATCTGAAGATGAGAATGTGGGCCAACACTACATCCACACAGGAGGTGAATACGATTCGTGCCTTGTACTTCCGGTCATAGCCGGAAGCAGGCCTTAAGCCGACAGTTTACCATCAAGTCAGTCAAAGCGATATTCCAGATATGAACATCTTGGGCATTATCGCCGAGGCGACAAGGAAATCCTAACGCTCATTACATACACTTCGATACTGATATATCAAAACAATGTATATCTCATGTCACAATTGAAGGTGGAAGTAAGCCGGTTGCGACACGTAGCCCGAATAAATGATGTTCAAAGTGTAAAAACACATGCACTGAAGAGAGAGAGCCGCAAGGAGAAATCTCTAGGAGGCCTGCTCGAAGGGAAGTGAGAATATGTAGCGATCAACGCATCAAGAACTGACCCTTGAGAAGTCTGAGATACTAATATGCACGGTCGGTTAACCCTGCAAGTTAGGTTGCCCACTCGCAAACACCAATAGACGCGAGGAGCACAAAATGCCCATCAGTACCAATCCAATTGGCGGTCCATATGACTGACCACTGTCTGCCTCGTCCACATCTCATTTGACTGTTATTCTCACAGGCGTTTTATTGGTAATAGCCCCCACTCAGAAGAGTGTAATATGAATTGCTACAGAAAAGGCATCTTGGATTCGGCCTGATGTCGAGCTTTGATCCATGACAATTGGGACTTTGTCTACTCCCGGTACCCAGTCTACTGTGCTCCGCCACTTTGCCAAATTTGAAACACTGTCCCATTCTGCCCTGTCTCGCAATACCTCAATCGTTGAGAGGAAAATAGTCAAAAAGTACGCGGAACCTAATGAGAAAAGCACATCAACATACAAAGTAACATCTGCCCTGATTTCTTCAAGCAACACCATGGCTAGGGAAAATATTCTTGGTCGAAGAGGGGCCGGGTGATGATATCTAATGGGGCTGACCCAGTGCCCGCATTTGAAGACTGCCCTTAACAAGCCCCGTTATCACTATACCGCCACCATGGATGGACCCACAGGCGACGTATTAATTGAATTTACTCCACATAGTGTCCTTTTTCAGGAAATTCTTCATGGAATCAATGCCATTGATTGGGAGCGTATATATCGAATGTGCGCGGACTTGACTTTTTCGTTCGTCCGCGGACAGAAACACGACCGTGCCGAAGCGTGCCGATCGCAACCTCATATCCGGTACCTAAAACACAAAATTACTTAAGAGAAAAGAAATCCCTACTTAATTCTTGCATATTCGAGTCTCTCTCCGACATAGGCAAAATCGATCTCAAAACCATTTATTATTCATTTCTCTGGCTCAGCGGCATGGCTTCTACACCCTTCGCCATCGACGTCCTTAAAGGGCCTTCCAGCAACCGTGCCACCAAAGACCTCGAGGCGGGATTCGCACGTCGATCAATGATGCTGGTTCGACGACTGCTAGGCGAGAATAGCTTAATCGAACTTCTTCGTGAGGAAACGGCGGCTAGTACCGAATGGTGGAAACAAGCATGTCTCAGCTCGAACAAAGAATGGACACCAGCCCGCATTACTCTTTCCGTACGAGGAGTTCTTTCAAAGGAGTTCATTCAATGGTTCATTCCCGCACAGGGTGGCATGCTTCCTGAACCCGAGAAGCTTGCCGCCCACCCCGAGCATTGGGTTGTTCGCCCTTCGCAAGGCTCTAAATCAATGACTGTGTTGGAGACACTTGGCGAAAGGCCAACCTTGTTTACGCTGGCTTTCGATGTGCAAGCTGCCCATTTTGTTCAGAATGAGCCAACCTTCACTACCAAGATGACTGGTCGAGGCTATCTCGAAGATGGTACCCCGATTATGGAGCTATACCACCAGTTCAGGGACCATGCGGACGGTCAGGGATTTGACGTTGACTTGGCGATCTATTTTCCCGTCGGGGCTGGAGAAGACGTCGTTGAATGTCACCGTCAGCATCTACTCGTCGAGTTCAGCAACTGGTCCAAGCAAGCATTTGATGCGAAGTTAGCGCAATGAACGCCTTTTCGTTCGTACATTGACACTCAAACCCAGAAACTTCTTTTTAGCAATCTTGGTTTCTTCTCTTTTTTTTTGTATCCACACACGATAAAACATGAAGACCGTTTCAACCTACCCGACGCAAGATCGTCCACTTAGTCAAAATACCTAAATCTTATTCCTATCGTTCCAACTTAGGTGATAGGCTATACATGCGGTTTCAAATTTGTGCGATCACGTATTTTGCAGATCAATGGAAGGCTCTAGAGACATGTAGGAATCTGGGTCTGGTTGAAAGATCTGCTCGCTTGTATTGGGAAGTCCGAGAGCTGACAGAAATTCCGAAGACCACTCATCATCCGCTTGAGAAGTCTGCTCGTTGCGTTTGACTTGCAATTTCCCGATGAGTGGGACATAGAAGGCTATTTGGCATACATTCAGGCTATTTTTCCTTCCACAAAGCAGATCATCGAGGGAACGAAGCGTGGTAAACCCGTTATAGGCAGTGCAGGAACCAGAGTGATAGCCAGACTTGTCTTGAAGAAGCTTGATCACTTGTCCAGCCTCGTTTTTCATCTTGATTTTATCCATGCCGACTTCCAAAGAGCACAGGGAAGACATATGAGATATAAGAAGAAGAGTGACTGCAGCGGAGAACGCTTGTATGTCCAACATTTCAGAAAGAAAGAGACCAGGTGGAAGCGTTTGACTCAACAACTGATATCGTTGTACCATCGACTCACACGCGGCCACACAAGCCAAACAATTGAACAAGTTTTCACCGCCTGGGCCTTGTCGTAGACTGAGAGGCAGGTGGATTCTCATGGCGACATAATAATGCAAAAACTGCACTATGTGATCAGGGTGAGCATTGTTTGTACCGTGCACTCCCCCTGACCACCAAGCTTCTGGGGTTTGGGAGGCAAGTGCTTTCAGCTCCCTAGAAAGCTCCAAAGTAAATTCATAGTTCTTCGTTCCAGATGCATTGAATTTGCTGATGAGATCAAGATCTTGGATTTTATTGGCTATATCTGTCAGGCGACAGAGATACACCCGGGTTTGCACGATGCCATTGATGGATACAGAATGGTTGGCCAATTGTTGATGACGACCGGTTATTGGAGGAATGTTGAGAACCATCCCCAACAGTCTGTCTGCAGCACATATCAAATCCCATAGCCGCAATTTGTTCATGACGTCTTCATCAGTAGACTCGGTAGCAGAACCGATTTGGATGACTTGAAACAGGTTGTGAAGTCCTAACAACTCTGCGACCGCAATAGCATGTCGTAATTTTAACCACGCTTTATGGATGTTCCCTCGGCCCATTTCCCTAACATCAGTCAATTAATATGATGGGCAAAGTCGAGGAACGTGAAATTCTCACAGCCTGATGAATTGCATCAATAGCGAAAGTCCCTCTATTGAGCCCGTCAAAGCATCGAAGGCCAAAATTTTGTTTTCCACCGTGGCAGATATGGCTTTTGAAAGCGAACGTTGTCGCTGCCGTTCATTGAGTTGAACTTTCATGCTCACATTTTCTGGCGGCAACTGCTCGGTTATCATAGCAACGGTAATCATCCAAGAAGCTAGCTTGATGGGATCAACATTCATTCTATGCATCTCTTCATAGCTCGCAACAACTTCCTCTCCACAAGTTGTGCCGCACGGTAGTGGGAAAAATGACTGGAGCATACTAAGCCATTCGGAAGCTGAATCGCTATTTTTTGATATTTCGTCTTTCGAAGGAATCAACACCTGTAGCGACTCTCTTGCGACGGCGAGTAGATGTGAAGCGCTAGTAATACCATGACCTTGCATGGCGCGGCTTTCCGAGGGACCTTCCACACTGAGCCAGTCATTTTGAAACAGTAATCGCAAGTGGAACGGTTGCTCGGTAATAGACTGCTCCGAAATGGAAAGACCAAAGCCATAATCTCCGAATCTTTGCTCGACACTCACACCCTCGTTCTGTGTTGCTTGGAAATTGAGTTTCTGTTGCATCTGGCGAACAGTCTCGGTCAAACTTAACACTTTCGATTCAAGTTGAGCGACTCGTTGCTTTGAAGAAAACCTTTGGGTCTTTGTTGACCGTGTAGAATGTGTTTGGGCAATACATTCCAAGCCCTGTTCTTCACACCGACGGCATGTCTGTGCATTTTCAAAGCTTTGAATACACCGGATCTTTCGACGTCTGCCTACTTCTGTTAGACTAACAACGAAAGATGTAAGTAAAGAAAGGTAAATACGGTCACTCACATTCTGTGCAGCTTTTTGTACCTTTCCTGATTGTTCGACCTTCCCCTGTCATAGCTATTTTCCCATTCGATGATTCTTCCAGTGCCTTTTAGAGAGACAAAAGGGTTGGCAGTCGTCCTACACAAAGCGGAGTTGAAACGCAAGTGGCAAAATAACCAAAGGATCTTCGCAGGCTTTCTGTCACAGATAATGAATGTAATACTAAGATCATCAATAATCTCAGCTAAACCAGGTTTCGCGAAAATATTAGACAAATTGACTACCCCTCGGCATTCGGGCTTCCGCGTCTCCGATGACTCCGCTTTTATCTCCGCGTTTCAGTCTGCCTCTCCGATGCCTCCGCTTCATCTCCGCGTTTCAGTCCGCCTCTCGGTCTTCACTTTCGTCGATCCCTTTCGCTGTTTTGGCTTTGGTGCGCCCATTGAAGCTAGGAACACAATTTGTGAATACCAATCATTTTGCGTGTCTGGTTGACGTGCACTTATTGATGATTCACATTAAGCATGGTGGGTATTTGAGCACGTTTGACGGCCCAAGGGAACCTGAAATTGCGTCCGTTTCTGCGATCTTCTGTCAAGGATCCAAAAAGAGGAATCGAAGACGAAGATGGGTAGGGAGGACGTAGGCTTCTACTTCCAAGGTTGTTGTGATCACTGTTCGGAACAGCGATGAGATGCGGATCAGCGAGCTTCTCTGTACAGTGTTCAGGTGTCGCAGATGGGGTTTTATCTCTCAACGGGTCGTACGATACGGTTGACGCGCAGTTGATCACCGGCGTGACGCACGCCTGGTACACCTGCCGCGCATGTCCAGGCCGTAGATGCCGTAAGCCACATAGAGCGATGGTGGTGTTGGTTGCGTGCTTGATGACCTGCTGTACGTGTTCCTTCCACCATCGCTTCTGGTCCAAAACCACGCCCAGCAGCTTCGCTGTAGGTGAGGGTGACACAACCGTTCCGTTTACGACCATGTGGCCTTGCTGGTGATCTCCTTTCTTCCGGGTGAGGTGGATGAGCTCGGTCTCTTCCGCGGGGAAGCAGGGTCCCGTTCGCCGGCGCCTAAGCCTCACGGGGGATATCTTCGTACATGAGTTTGACTAAATTCTCTTCGGCCGATCGACCCACTCGCTTACGGGGATAATCATCGATGAGCGCTGAGACGCTTCCGTTATGGTTGACAACTTGGTCAACAAGGTCAGCATTGAAGAAAGCGAAGAAGATGGGAGATAGAGGCGTCCAACCGTACGGGAGTCGTCAAATTTTATGCTAGCGTGGCAGCCTCTCATAAAGCTTGCATCCATTTGCGGGCTAAGGCAGGGATCCTTCTGGCTCGTAGGGCGGAGTCTAAGGCTCTTCTTGTTGATTCCGTTATAGGCTCCTTTCAGGTCAGATGAGATGAGGGTTACTACGTTTTGCTTGACCAGGCCTGGTCGATCGCGTTTGAGAACACGAGGAGTGCTTTTTCTGTGGCTCTTCCCGGGCGGCCGGTTCTTCCTGGGCGGCCGTAAAATTGAGTGTCCGGTAGCAAGCCATGCTTTTCTGCGAGATATGAAAGTCGTTTGGCAATGACTGCTTCCAAGGGCTTGCCTAGCGTATTAAGGAGCGAGATTGGGCGATAGGCATCAGTTATCGAGTAACTTGGCTTCCCGGGGTTTCTGGGCACTGCAATATTTAAGCCTTGCCACCTCACTGACGAATTGAATACTCCGGTGATGGGGCTCCTCAGAATTATTCATACTCGTCTCCATACGAGCATTGGTAGGCTGTCTCCTGATGCCGTGGGTCTTTTGGTAGCTTTGAGAGATCGTTGAACCTCCAGCTGGGTGATATGTTGCGACAGGAGTACTAACAGGGCCGTTGACACGGTGGCGACGGGTGTATTCATTTCGGGGAAGAAGGAGCCAAGAAGGTCTGCGCCTTGTCTTCGTTCTCGATACTCCCGTGGCTGTCCACCTTCAAGGTCGGGACGCACCCCCAGTTGTCTCGCGATTTCTTGTAGGTTGTAGATTTCCAGGGTTTACTTCCCGACTTCGTCCAATAGTCCAAGAATGCCCTCCAATATGATATCTCGCATCTTCAATGTTTCAAGTCCTGGTCCGTCGACTACGTTCATCTCCTATAACGTGGCTGTAGACTTTAGGTCGTCTCTCAATAACGTTGCACAATGTTCCTAAACTCTAGATGCAGTCTTCTCACATTGTGGGTCATAAACCACCGCTTAGAGTTAGGCGGTGTCTGGCGTTTGCCGCTTCAAGGCCTCCGTTGTCGCATCTATGGGTTTCTGGACGTGGAGGTACTTTGGGTTTGGAAATTTCACTTCCAATAAACGGCGCGATGGTAGCCTTTTAGGCTCACAGCCTGGAAGAAATCGACTAGGTCAATTGCGCCTTATAGCGAAAGGTCCTAGAAGTAGGGTAGAAGAACCACGAGACCAGATCTTCGGGCTCCCAGAGAATATGGTATCTTTTTGCTTCAAGCCCATCTCAAAAGATCAGATCTCCATGCCGCTCGCATGAGTCTTGACATGTTTCTCTAAATCATAAGGGCGCTTATAAGAGTAGCCGCAGAGATGGCATTCATGAGGTTTGAACGGCACATGAACCCGAACATGGGAGAACATGTGGTATCGCTTGGCAACAGTTGCATTGCAGCTACCCACTGGCATGCCAAGCTGAGGTTGTTAGTCGCCTTGCGGTAAACATGCCCCTCGCAGATGTGCTCTTGTGTTGCAATCAGAATTTGGGGCCCACTGATCCGTCGACGAGCTTACATATAGGGCCTCGGCAGTGAAAAACATTTCACTGCATTCAGCCCATTGGCAGGTCAGTAGTCTCCATTTGTGTGAATGCGTATCTTTGCTGGCTACCAAGGGGGCAGAATTTGTCTCGATGTGGTGAAATGCGGGCTTTCGACGGTGAGTAGGTAGTGTTGGCATGCTGATGAAGGCGTGTTGATGTTGAGGACACGCTGATGGTGAGGGCCGGCGATGAGGGACAGTTGAGAGTCGGTGATGATCATGATCGATGGGAACCAGTGTGGTTAACATATTGATTTGCGGCGCGGCGTAACTGCCGAGCGGTGAAGTGGCTGCCAACGGTGACTACCCATCGCCGTTACCGTGGGATCTTCGTTGGCTCACCAATGATGTAAAAGATGATAGACGGTGACACATGATGCAGTTCGTCAACTACAATCTGTCGTTACAGAAGATCGTATGTAGTGTAGTTATCTGCGAATAGTCTTTTCTGAAAAACTCGACTATGGGCTTGCAGTTGTGTGATGGTGCAACCAACTTTGGTTACCAATTCAATTCAAAAATGTTAAAGGGTACACCATGTACACACACACACACAATTCATTAACGCCTGGCGGCTGAACCGAAAGGGCAACTATCACTGATCTAAATATACATGCCTTAGCTAATGCTGTGCCTTCTTGGAGCCCATACAAGATTCCTTCCAGTTAATGTCATCTCAGATGTCAATATCTCAGCCGGTCCCTGAGGATTAATGTTTAGTTAGTAGACTTGCTTGAAGGCGCTTCTCCAAGTGTTCAACATCCTATCTTCGGGAGTTGAAGGGCGTCTACCGTCTCAAGCACAAGGTAGTTGGTGGGGGTTAGATTAGGGTTGGGTTGGGGTAGGGTTGATTCCCTGTTGGTTGACACGGCTAAGTGGCGTCGAGTCGGCCCGTGGCGATTGCAAACCGTATTGTGGCTCGCACTGCTTCCAAATTCGGCTTCCAATTCTGGTCATCCAGAGGCGATTTTCCGCCAAGGGAAAAGGATATGTTGCCTCGGTGAGTATGGGTACATTTCAGCATTTCCGTCCGGTGCGCGGTCCACTTCCGACATCGAAAGAGGAAGTGTTCCACGGACTCTCTTGCTTGTCCACATGTACACTGATCCGTCTCCGCGACGTTGATTCGATATAGGTATCCATTTAGTCTAGCCATGCCAGTCCGGAGTTGGGCCAGCACGCTCGCTTCTTTCCACGATAATCGATCATACAGCTGTGGGGTATGTTTCCCTGGAAGCGCTGCATCTACACGTTTTGGCATGTCGTCCGACATTCTCTGGTAAGCCATGGCTGGTGGCTGCCTGGGACCGCGCTGTTGTAGTTCAGAGGTATCAATTGTCTTATTTTTCAGAGGGAAACATTAGGCTATATATATACAACGAGAAGATCAAGTTGATTTCCAATCAACTTGGTTCTTTCTATAGATATCTCGGGATTAATTCCGATGGTTCGGCTTGGTTCCTGATCTGCACCAGCCTCATATCACAACACGCGATATTCAGTGTTGTTGACTTCATCCGGGAGATCTGTGCTTGCGGGGTGGCATCCTCTTGGGTCGCGGTCCGAGCGCTCTTTCGCTAGGTCTAGAAGTTGATTATCTTCGCAGGTCGGGACCCAACAGATGTTCATGCGGTTCTCGTGCTTCCGTAGTCTCTTGATCAGCTTGTATGTTTGGCAGATGTGTTCCTGGCCCGACTGCTGTCGAGGGTTCCTCAGCGTGAGTGCCGCGGCTTTGTTGCTCGTGAGCAGCGTGACCCTGCACCGTTTCAGTCCCCGTAGCGTGTTCAGTGCGTATGCCATTGCTGCCAGCTCCCCAGAGTATGGGTTCTGCTCGGTTCTTGCACCCAGTGTGACGGAGAAAGTTTTCAGCCTCGGTTTTCGATATCGAGGTGGCTGCTTCTCAATCGCCACGCCTAATCCTACCATTTCATTCGGCGCCGAACTGCTGACCGCGATTCGCATAGCTCCGCCCGCTTCGGTCTGTGTCTCCGGTACATCATGACTATCGCTCCGCACGAGTTCCTCCCATGGTGCCAATGTGAATGGATTCATGGTCTCTGACCATATCATCCAGACATTGTCGCCCGATGATGCTATCTAATGTAGCCTCTTTAAATAGTGCTTCTCTAAGCCTTGCGCGTTCTGGGAGATATTTCTTGAATATTTGGAATAAGGACGTTCTATCGCGCTCGGTGAATTCATTTCCAGAGATGTATTCGTGGTAGGCAGAATCCCACCAATCTTGTATGAAATTCTTTTTCCAAGCTAGGCGTAGCTTGGATTTCTTGCTGTAGAGACTTGTGCGCTTAGCATCAAAATCAGGATGCATTAGAGGCTGACCCGACATCTGAGACGTCAAGAGATTGATTCTCTCATTTATCATTTTGATTTCGTCTGTATTCTCGAATGCGTTGATAGAAGCTGCATCCAGCTTCATTGGGGCATTGGGGTCTCGATGGTGAGCCATACTTTGCTCCATATTTCGGTATTCATAATCTGGCTCCAAGTCATAGACAAGGGCCTGAATGTCCAATGATTTTAGCACAGATTGGTATTTGATGTAGGTATCATGATTCTGATGGTCGAGGGCCTGGCCGCGAGTGGCTTCTGATGCCTTGGCTGAATGGAATCAGTAAGGGGCAGTGGACTTGAAGTAGAAAACACTTACGATCGATACAATTCGCAACATTCGCACGAATTCCATGCACGCGCAGCTGATCTTTGAAGCACTCTCGCTGAGCCAAACTCGTAAAATTATGCCATAGAGACGAGAATGTCAATGCCCTTGTGGCACGAGGACCATCTGGGGTGACCATCCTAAAAAAGGAAAGTCCTCTTTTCCCCTCATCCCATTCAAGTGTATACGACTCCCTCCCTTTCGGTGGTCTTACTGCCAGGACTTCTTCCACCGTGCTGAGTCCCTTGAAGGCACCATCGGCGACGCCATGTACTATTACCCAGAACACAAAGTTGAGTCCAAGAATCGGGTTTTCTCTGAACCAGTTTTTGGGTCTTCGAGTATTAGTTAGTCATCTAGAATCGGAAGAGAATTAAGGACCTTACAGATATCTGTCGTCTTTATAACGCTTTCCTTTCAGGAATTGAGGATCAATCGTCACCCAACGTTTTAGCTCACCATCTTTCGAGCTCCACTTCATGTTAAAAGTGAGGTGCTATCAATTTCCATCAGCTTAAACAGTCCTAATTTGGAAAGAAAAACGATACGTGGACAGTGGGTAGGTCAAAACAAACCCTGTAATAAAGACACTCGTTGGTGTCACGATAATCACTTGACTCCACGACAGCGCCCGCTCTAGAGCCTGAGCCAGCAAAAATTGCAAGAGCACTGCCAGTTTGTACCCGAGCCCGCTCGTGTCTGTAGTCGTGCCAATCGTCCCCAAACAGACCACGAAGAAGGTAGTCTATATCCTTAGCAGAAAGAGCCCTGTTGACGGAATGCATGTCAGACAGTATAGACTACAAAACTTAGCAAGTCATTCTGCTGTTCATCAGCGGCCTCAAACCTATATAGTGATAATTTCGATTAGTGCACGATTCTTAGGTATTGGAATTGAATCAGTTTGCAATACTCTTACAAAGATCTTGAAAGTGGTATACCATTCTGAGGACTTCTGGAGTTTGATGGAACACACGGATTGGAACAACGATTCGAGATGGGTGGTGTCGGAGCATATGATTGAAAAGCGCACTTTGCCTCGGGATGTATAGGCGACAATGGAAATTCGGGCGTCAAGAACAAGATCGCTAATTTAACGAGCAGTAAATAGTTTTCCGTCTCACGAAATCCTAAGACGTTTTGCTTTTCCTGAGTCCACTTGACATCGTCGTCGTTTTGCCGGCCCCAGTCGCTGCTTAGCCGGTCGGCATCTCAGAGTAGAACGGTGAAAGTCGATGATCAAAGCACGTCCGAGCTCTCTACACCAAAGGACATTGTCTCGTCTGAGGTCTTCATGGATTATGCCCAGGGCTTTGACTTCTTTTTTTGACCTATGAATCTCTCGACGGAGGTGTGAAGTCAGCTCCGTCGTTGCTGTGCTCTCACCACCCCAGCCCATGATAAGCTTATGGCGGATTTGTCCAGCGCCATGAAGAAAGTAAATTTTTGCTAAGTCAATCGTTCCCAGAAGGACCGGCACAGCAGATCCTTGAGCCTTGCGCAGGATCTGATATACCTGTGCCTCGCGGGAAACTTCTTCCCATAGTCCCGAAGTTTCAACTATAATGTCTCTCTGCCTTTGTCTTGATCGCTCGCTTTCTTCTTCTTCTTCTTCTGTTTGAAGATGCGACACTGGTCTTCCTCATCGATTCCCTCCATCTGCCTACCAATTATCTACAAAGTTTCAAACGTCTTCATCTCCTTCCTCTCTCATTGGCTTACTGGTTTAAATTTTGCGCTCGGTATCCCAGATATGTCCATCCACGAATCTGCTGCCACCAGAATGGCCTAAAATTCTAGTCTCGAGTACCACCGGCGATACTGTCAGCAGTTGCAGAGAGGCATTATCCAAAAAGACATGCCGTTTCAACCAAAATTGACATCGGATATACTCCGAGACGATGGAAAAGGTAAACACACCCTCGAATAGTGAGTCTATCGACGCCTGCGTCTCAGACACTGCGATTATTTGGGAGAGAAATCATTGCACTTGCTCGTTTCAGCAAAAAAGGAAGACATAATAATATTCCTGGAATGAGTACTTGACAATTCAAAAATAAAGAAGTTCGGCAGCCTGCATGAGATTTGGAGAAATGGTGCTAGCTTTATCGCAAAGCGGTTGACAGAAGCTCTATGCAAGGTGCAGCCAGATTATCAACATTGTGTATCAAGCTACACTGCTCTGAGAAACCCATATTATATCCCCAGTAAGTTCTTGGCGTTATCTAACAAAACCCGATGTTTCACGACCTGTCCAAAGTTGGTTTCTAAACCAACATCAACTCTTTTGGCAAGAGCCTCAACAAGCGGTGCCCGCGTAAACGGATAGTCACTTCCATACAGTAGTCTCGAAGAATCGACGATTCGAACAAGGCCATGCACTTGATCGGGGAATGGTACGCCAGCCAGATCGAAATAGAACCGGCTCTGTAGGAGGTTTTTGATCTCCTCGCCACTGATCTGGTTTCCTCCCTCAATGAGAAAGCCAGAGCACTCAGCAATCCGCTCGAGAACGGGTGGAAATGTCCCGCCGCAATGGCATACCAAAAAAGTAATATCGGGACATCGCGTCACTGTCCCCGATGTGAGAAGGCTCAAAAGGGATCGGCTTGATTCGAACATGAACTCTACCACTGGACTCGCGACTCCTGGTTGCGGGTTGATTCGCTGCACCGATGATGTATCTTGCGGATTCTGGACATGACAGCTGGTTGGATGGAAGAATGCAATTGTCTTGCGCTCATTTAATTTGTCAAACACAGGGATAAATCGCGGGTCGCCGGGGTAGATGCCGTGTGAGTTCGTGAGAATTTGAAATCCCACTGCGCCAAGATGGTCTAGAGCATAGTCGATTTCCTCCAGAGAACCCTCGACGTCAGGAAGTGGCAGAGATGCGAAAAATAGGAAGTGGTCCGGATGATCAGCACAGACTCTGGCCATGTCCTCATTGGCGCGTCGAGTCACCGACCTGCCTTCCTCATTATTGCCTGGCGTCAAGTGTGTACCTGGCGATGACATACTCAGGACCGACTTCTGGATATTGAGGTGTTTCATCAAGGCAATGTGGTCTAAAGGATCCCAGGGCTATCTTAAACAGTTAGTGGGAGGGGATAATTAATGTATCCTCAACGCATACCGGTATCGCAGGCATCCCATCAGGATGACCCTTCTGCGCGAAATCGTTCTCAAGGCAGTATTCGCGGTATGATGGTGGCACACAATGCGCATGAACATCAATTCTCGCCATTTTCAGTTGGGGTAATGCGAAGAAGGTTGTATCCAGGAGTTCAGGCGATATGACAAGGAAAAAGAAGGAAGACACTGTCTCTTATTAAACAGTATGTAAGCCCCGCATGACCCGTCCGCCTCGGCCGCCGGCATTTCAGCCGTGCAGCGACTTCCCCAAACGATGATGATCTCGTACTTGCCTCCTTTGGTAATTTTAAGGATGATACTGCAGAGACGTCGTTCGTGGCAATAATTGTAGAATTAGGAAGCAAGAGTCTTTGCCCTTAACCAAATCGCAGCCACGGATATCTAATGTGGGACCTATTGGTCACATGCAGTGTTGAATGAGCACGAAAGGGTCGGGTCGAGGCACTGAACCGTCGCTACTAGGTAACGACCTGATTTTCACGCGTTGTGCTCCGAGCTTGTGGCTTTAGCTCCAATATTATGACTACGCATCCGTGGACACATGTATGTTTGGAGCTAGGTTCCTACTTTTGATGTACGTACTTGGGTGTGGGCGAGATATAAATTGTGGGGTAGTTACCCCTTCAACGCGGATTTTTGCTTATACAATGAGCACTATCTAGAGCCATCTTTATAACCCTTCATCTGATCCTTTCTCCAATCTTGTCATGGCCGAACACAAATATCTCGACGTGGCAAAGCGCTTCTTCGACGCCTACAACGTATCAGACAGCTCAACCATAGCTGAAATAGTGGATCCTGATTTACTCTGGGCGCACAGCAACCGCTTCAAAGGCCAAGGGCGCGACGCCCTTCTCAAGTCAATTGAAGAATACTCCGCAAATGTTCCTGGAAGGGCTTTCTATGCACCCGCGAGATGGGCAGTAAATGGGAATGTTTTGTTTCTTGAGCACAAATGGGAGGGATTTCCCGCAATTGATGTGCCGACATTCGGCTGGATAGCAGGAACTCAAGCTTCCTTGGACTGCTTGAGCGTATTGGTGTTTGATGGGAAAGATGTGATCATCGAATGGACTGATTATGCTTAGGCGGGTGAAGGTTGAGTGGGATGTTGGAAAGAATTGCAGAGATGCTTGCTAAAATAGGCCTTGGGAGAATGCTACATGTAACCGCAATTGATGACACCACCTATGAATGTTCTAGCATATGTTCTTTGATACCAACCTACTAGTGGTTCACACGAGAAATCGTTCGAAGGCTTGAAGATTGACGACAATCTTCCACCATCGTTCTGCGGATATTTTGTTTTGCTCCCGGGCTAGCTTAATTTTCCTTCTAAGGCTATTAGAAAGGCAATATGAGAGCTCTTCACGTCTATCACTGGACTTGAGATACATCTCTTCTAAAACATGTAATTTGTAGAGGACGAGGTACTGTACTCATTTATCGGAACTTAGCTCGACTTTAAAGGAGATTTTCCGAAGAAGATTCAAGACCATGCTAGTATTGTCGATACTGTGACTGTCATGATTCATATCTCCGTTCCGGTTCTCGGCAAATCTGGCTCAAGAGTTTTCTGTCCATGCACGGGCCTTTCAACGTCGGTCCCCCGTCCGACGTGTTTCCCAAATGGGCTAACGTGCAGCGGTATCATTGGATGATCGGAGCTCGGTCGTTTTGTGCTCCGATCCTTCCCAGTTTGGTCTTACTGCTTCTCCACTTCACTTGACTTCACGCATCATCATTTCCATTGGCCTTCCAAAGATGGACTAGTATACTAATCTTCCACGCAAAAGGGGGCTGTCTTTTGGCCTTCGGAGTCCAAATGCTTTAGCACTGGACCAGGCGGGGCTTATCGCTTATCAGTATGCAAGTGGGACTTATAACTCTTTCTTTTTTTTTTTCATAGCAAAAGTTGTGCAATTTTCCCTTTCCTTGGTTCATTGCGTGGGACATGTTGAGCGCGTAACAGGAAAGTGATGTGAGTATGAATTGAGACGGGTGGATCCGGATGAGAGGTGTTCACGGATATTAAAATACAAAACAGCTGAATATCATAGATACGTCATGTATTCATCTCATGTTTGCCATCCCGACAACTTGAGGAGGATCGCTCAAATGAGGGTCCCCCATTCTAGCTTCGTTCACTGCGGTCGATTTACGCAATAAGAACGCTTCCGTGGAGCGGCCCTGACCTCTTTCTTTACGGTAAAACCCCATTAAGAGGTTCCTCTTCGACAATTCAGCAACTCTCGATGTTTGGGCCCGGCAATCCGAGACAGCATGGGGTGTGCCGGCGTTGAACTGATAGGAAAAGCCTTGAAGCCAACCAATGGGATCTGGGAAGAATTCAGAGCTCGTACCTGGCGACCGAAAATAGTTTGAACTAGTAGCAATTAATACAGGTTACAAGTCATGGCTTTACAGTGGCATCATTTGGGGCGGGTAATGTATTTGCTTTCGTTCTCTTCCATGCGATGAGCCCGCAACAAGTAGAGCGTTTGAGAAGTACCGCCAATCTCACTATGTCCCAAGATAGAGCTATACGTTGACAGAAAAAGATCTTGAAACCATCTGTCAAAGCCAGACTTCACATTCGCCAAGATAAAGCAGGCCATGATGATGCAACCTTGGAATTCATCTTAGAACGCGTACCTAAAAGACAAATTTTCTTTGTCGGTCAGGTCGTCAAATGCTCTTGATCTGTCCCTAGGGTCTGCCTGCTGTACTCCTTCTGCAGCCAGACAATCTCTATAATTATTCTGTTTCTGCAGGTACCAACGCAAGGCTACCAGGACAATTACCAGAAGGGAGTAGCATCCAAGATGGGTTGCAAATGCTATGAAGTATCGTGGACCATCCCACGCCAGGAAGACCTGGGGTCCTGCAGAGAGATTAATTGATTTCATTTCCGCGGGGACGTTTCGGGAGACATACCGACACAATTACCAACAGCCCACATGATGAATGTAAGTGTGAGAGTGACCATTTTCTTAGTCTGCCCAGCTATGTTCCTCGATAGCAACGACAGGCTCAGAGCTGTAGTCGCCCAGAAAGAAAAAGTGATGTAGTAGCACAAAAGGAGACCAATACGCTGGCTCTTTGTATCCTCTGAGATGGTCATAAGAAGAATGGTCCCAACAAAAGACCTGCACTATCAGTATGACTGTGTATGTTGATAAATCCGAAACAAGGAGAACTCACAGGATCATGTACACGAGCATCACGGGAACATTTTGATTTGTTCTCTTAGCAAACCACGAGGCTGAAAGAAGGATAACCATTACATAGAGCCCAAGAGGCATGGATAAGAGCTGGCTATTTCTCGCTGAATATCCAAAGCTTTTAATTATGATGTTCGCAAAAGATGACAACCCAACTGTAGGCAATGTGGTGCATAAGTTGATAACAGAATAGGCCCAAACCTGTGGGTCAAGCAGGGCTTCAATCGCTTGCTCGCGTTTGAATTGTCTGTTTTGAATACCAGTCTGGTTGTCACGAACACGCTCGATCATATCCCGCTTTTCCTCGACTGTGAAGCACTTGGCACGTGTTGGGGAGTCAGGTAGCCAGTAAATGATGAACGACCCCCAAGCAACCAAGAGGAGGCCAATGAAGATGAACCACCATTCCCAGGCAGCAAGCGGCCCTTTGCTGACGTACGTAAAACCATAGGCCAAGAGACCTCCGATGATTTGCTGTACCCCAGACATCATGTACCTTCAGAATAGTTAGAGGAGCGCTTCTCAAAGAGCCGGAAATGAGTCAGGCATACCAGATTGGGATTCGGACAACCTGCTCTTCTTTGCGGTACCACATGACGGATATCAGCACCAAGCACGGCTGGCATGCCGCTTCGAAAATCCCAAGCAGGCATCTCCCTATAATCAGACCTTTGAAGTTCACACACGCTGCATGGGTGGCTACAATAACCCCTTCACACATCATACAGAAGCCGAGATATTTTGCAAGAGGAACCTTTGAAAGGATATAATTCTGAGGGTATTCGGCCACCAGCATGACAATGTACATGCCAGTCGTCAGCCAGGAATACTGTTGCACACAGTCAGTAGCTTCCATATGGCGCAAAATCTAAAGCCATAACCTGGTTTCGCACCTGCTGGGACGTTCTCCCGTCCGGCCTTCGCATGCCCATGTCGTCGATCAAACCCATGATTGACGCAAAGGGCAGGGTGCTTTGAGTGAGTGCTTGCAGGAGACAGGCAACGACGAGGACGGGTAGGACGCGCTTATCGAGTTTGCGCACAAGGTCTTTATTACGTTCGCTCGATATCTCGACCGTGACATCTGTGACATACTGAGAAAGCTCCTTATCGACCTGACCATGATGCGAAACACGGCTCAAAGATTCCTCGTGTTCGAATTCGCTCTTCGTGGCTGAGACTTCTGCAGTTTCATGATGGGTAAAATTAGGTTGAGCCATTTGACCGAATGCCAGCTCTCTCTGTTCTGTACTTGATGCAGTCGAGAGAGCAGACGAGAATTTATATCCAGCATAAGTTCAAAATTTACCCCAGCTTCTCGAGCCCCTGTGGCCTCTCCACAGTCGGGCTAGGGACCCATAAAAATGGGGGGGGGGGGAAGCTCCGCCAGAAAGCGTCTGGCCCGGCCCAATCGCCCAATCAAGTATGTGGGGCATGTGGCAACTATGAGCCCAAGGCTTATTTGGGGGTTTTCCACACTGTGTCGGGAGCCAATAGATCCGATGTTATCCTATACAACCCAGGTTGAATACCCACATGCTAGTGGCTAAGTCCTAAGCCAGGGTAAGCTAGCACCTTTGGAAGTTGGAAGGCATAATTTAGGGACATTTACAGAATAATACACCTAATACTATGACCAAGCCTCCTTTACATCCTGCACAAGATTCCCTAATTTGCTATTCTATGAAACCTTTGCGCTTCTTCTTCTTCCGATAGCCCCATACGGGGCTTAAATTGCAAGCATGATCTAAATTACTGCAACGAGATATTGATATTTATGCAATCTAAATCTAGACTTGAACTGAATCTTGCATAAACGAGAAATTATTCCGGGTCCAATAATTATAAATCCCAGACCCTCGACATCGCGTCAACATGAACAATTTCTCCATCGCCAACTTACTACATCATTGTTCAACGACTGAGCTCATCGCTCACAGGGAAAAGGTGTGAATGTCAACTCTCGCTATCGTGTGTATTATTGCTCATGGACACTACAGATTGAAATATGGCACGCTCATTGACGGCACTCATCGTAGGAGGTGGAATCGCCGGCTTGTCTTCTGCCATAGCCCTCACTCGCGTGGGCGTTCAGTGCGAGGTACTCGAAAAAGGCAACCCCAAGGAAGGGGCGTCGATCGCGTTTAGCGGCCGTGCAGCAAACGCTCTTGTAGATCTTGGCATCTATGATTTGGTCCACGACGCCGGCACTCCATTTCTGCACGATTCCCAGGTCGCGACGATGCGTGATGCGGCCGGCAATACCTTGAGTCGCGGTCCAAGCCGACCGACATGGCCGGATGCAAAGGAAGCCGTGGGCATCTACCGGCCAACTTTCATTGAGATTATGACGAAGGTTGCCGTAGACCTGGGGGTCCAAGTCCACATAGATACTACGTTTGACAAGATTGAGAATTCCACCAGTGGCGTGACTGTTCAGCTTAGTACGGGAGAGCAGCGCAGTTATGACTTTTTGGTGGGTGCAGATGGGATCAACTCGGCAACTCGCAAGACGATCTTCCCTTCTAGCCCTGATCCACAATATTCAGGCCAGCTGAGCATCCGCTGGATGGCGCCCGGCCCCCAGGTTCAGCCAGAAAGCTGGTATCAGAGTTCGCTTGGCCGACTTGGCTTCTATTATCTCCCGGAGGGTTACGTCTATGTTCCGTCGGTACTTGACCAGCCCGAGAACAAGCGGTTGACAAGCGAAGAGATCTATCACCTATTCCGCGACTTGCTCGACTCCATGACGGCGCCTGCCATTGACGAGCTGCGCCAGCGGTTGCACCCGGATTCCGATCTCATTGCGCGCCCATTCAGGTGGATACTGCTCTCGGCTCCTTGGTACGACAATCGCAGTCTCTTGATTGGTGATGCGGCACATGCAACCACAGCTCATATGGGCATGGGCGGGGGAATGGCGCTCGAGGATTCTGTTGTCCTCGCGCAATGCATTCGAGACGCACCGACTGTAGATGAGGCGTTCAAAGCCTTCGTGGAGCGTCGCTACGAGCGCGTCAAGACAGTGGTCACTACCAGTGTGGAACTCTCCAATCTCGAGCAACGCAACGCTCCACCGGCTGAAAGAATGGGGCTGCTTGCAGCTGCCTTCGCAGCACTTAGCAGTCCCTACTGAAGTGGCAGTATCTAGGTACCTTCGCCGTGCCATGGCCTGGCCGATATATTCATTTAGCTCCTTCGGACAGATTAGCTTCGCGAATATCATCCCCCGATTTTTCCCTTTCGTCAGATATCTATTGAACATTGGACATAAGACATATTCAAGACTTGTATCACATAGTATAATGTTGAACGGCTAGGGGCCCTAGCCCTTCATGCGCATTCGACAGGGTAAGACCACAAGTCCTTGCCCTTCACGTGGGACTATTTGATTTTTTCGCACGACGCTCCACTACCCGCAAAATTAAAATAGCTCGCAATATCCGTCTGTCAGATAAGGTTTGCGGATGTTGTTTGTAGACATTTGCTCCCAAAAAATTATTCTGTGAGCATAAGGAAATGGCATATCGTGAGGAGTGCAAAATTGATAGACCATAAAGATGGAATTATTCCCAGACCACTCGCTCCCCGTTTCTCCAAACCCCGATTATATCATTCAAAGAATCAATAGATTCAGTTGGATTACCCTTCACCAGCACAAGGTCTGCTTTACGGCCTGCTTCAATGATTCCCCGATCCTTCATCTTGAACCGTTCTGCTATTTTCGAGGTCGCAGACGCAAGAGCCTCAATGGGTGTAAATCCGCATCGATTTACGTATAGCCAAAGCTCATGAAGCACAGATGCTCCTGCTCGTGTACCCACGAGGTGCTCTGATGAGTCGGTCCCGCTTTGAGCCGGTGTATTATTAGCTTTCACCCAATCGAAGAGACGAAGAAAATGAGACAAAAAAGGATAGAAAAATACCATAAGATATCCACCCCAGCTTCTTTCAGAATCGTGATCTGTTCATAGGAATTTTGAATTGAGTACCCGGCCTGCATAATGTGGAGGCATCCGAGAAAGTTTTCCTTCTCTCTAGTATCTGCCAGATCCGCTGCGAGACGTTGTCGAGTGTGTCTGTCTTCTCCGCTGCTGGATGCATGAACAGCAAATGTAGGAATAATGAAGGCATTTGTATCTTTAAATGCACTGATAACGCTTTCGTTAATCGGTTCGACTGATGAGTGTGTGATGCCATCTACTCCAGCGTGAAGCATCTGGAGAACGGAGTCATTGGTCAAAGCATGAGCCACCGCCAACATATTGTTGCGATGGGCAGCGTCAACGACAGCCTTTTGAACTTCTAGAGGGGGAGTGGGGATCGGACGTGTAGGAAAGGGCAGGCTCAGTGCACAGCCATCTTCCTGCATAAGTTTAATGAAACTGCACAATTTTAGATGGGTAATTCCACAGACATTTTGAGGATCGGAGGACATACCTCGCACCCGCCGCTTTATTCGTAGCAACATATTGGTCTGCAGTTTCATTGTCCGTTATATCTGGCCACCCTGAAATACGAGTTTCAAGCTGCACCAAATTTAGCATGGTTTTTACTCAATCTGACATTAGAAAGAGCCTACGGTCGCATCTGCCGCAGCTGTCATTCGAAGAATCGCAGACGGCCAGCCGTTCTTGACGGTTGCAGCCAACCCTGCACTCTGAATGTCCGCAACATCATTTTTCTCATCGGCAACCAGCTTCATCTTCTTGAACCATTCGGACTCGTTGTGCATGTCTAGCACAGTGGTGACGCCATATTGAATTGCTGTTTCAATAAACTTCAAGTCCTGATACACATGGACATGGGCGTCGATAAGTCCAGGGATTAGCGTGGAGTTTGAGCCATCGACAATATTCCATCCGGGGGCAGTAGGCAATGGAAACTTCGATATTTGCTGAATATTTCCAAACTCAATCAAGATGTATCCGCAATCTGAGACGACTGAGAGGCCGTCGAAGATCCGGACGTTGGTAATGAGGGTTGGCGACATTCTGAGAACAATAGATGACATTTCCATGATGAGGCCTCCTAGAGAAGCAATTTATGTGAAATATTGCCCTTACCGAATGGCATCAATTCAACCCTGTGCAAGCGGTGTACGGGTGGTTCTTATTCCCAGTTCCGTGCGGCACCTCTGGTGGTCCACCAATCATTACTTCAAAGCCATAGATAAGCGTGATTGCGGTCAATCTGACCCAGATATAATCGAAGTACTGGGCTTTGGTAAACGACTCGTTGAGTCTTCCATTAAGCGACTTACTTATGGAAGATACTTTCCGACCTGAGCCTCCAACGTCAATTCAAAATATCGACGATAGATGGTACTGCTCATGGGCGTCCCGCAGCATGTGGATGGCGTACAAATATTCTTGTGGGATCTAAGTCCGGAAAACTGCAACCCACCAATCGTTGCTTCATGGCTCAGGCCGAGGCCAATACCTGGCAGTCAAGGAATGCTGCCATTGTTTGATTCAAATGAGCTCCATGAAGTATATATATTAGGTAGCGCCCTGGCTTTCCCGGTTGCATAAACAGCCTAGACATTGTTGGCGATTACTCGAATTCCCTACATACTTCGGAACAAATCACTTGTCTTCTTGGCTATAAACTCCAACTATGACTTCGTGGATCTATACTGAGGATGACTCTGGGTTTTCTCTAGACGTCTTGCCGTATGGCATCTTCAGTACCGAGAACCTCGATGCTCGAATTGGGGTAGCGATAGGACGTTACATACTTGATCTGAAGGCGCTGGCTCAGGATGGATTATTTACAACAATTAACTTTGACTCCTCGGCCCTGATGGGAAGTACATTGAATATCTACGCGGCTCTGAGAAAGCAGGTCCACAAGCAAGTCAGGGGCGTCCTTCAGGAGCTGTTGGCCCATGACACCAGCCGTGGCACTGAGTTGCGTGACAATCGAAGTAGGCGAGATAGAGTCCTTGTCAAAATGTCTGACGCGAGGCTCCATCTGCCCATGAGAATTGGGGATTATACGGACTTCTTCGTTGGACCATACCATGCACAAAACGTATCCTGTCCCTCATAAGAGATGCTACCTCCAGTGGTTAGGCTAATCTGTTGGTCAATAGTGCTACGATATTCTTCAGCCGGGGTCAACCCTCCACCAAAACTATATGAACCAGCCAATTGGTTATCACGGCCGCGCGTCCTCAATTGTCATTTCTGGAACTGAAGTCCGACGCCCTAAGGGACAGTTTCTGCTCGATAATAGCCCAACCTTTGGCACTTGTCGGAAACTCGATTTCGAGGTGGAATTTGCGGCTTTGGTAGGCCAAGGATCCGAACATGGCTCCTCAATATCTGTTGAGGAGGCTGAAGATCACATATTCGGATTTGTCCTTATGAATGACTGGTCAGCAAGGGATATACAAAATTGGGAATCATCTCCGTTGGGGCCATTTAACGGCAAAAATTTCGCGACTACTATATCTCCTTGGGTTGTCCCGCTGGAGGCCCTTGAGCCCTTTCGAGAGCCTCCTGTCCCATCAGTAAGTCAGACTGCCGTTCTCGAAACGTGGCCTTTCTGACTCTCTATTCAGATACCGCTGCTCCCATACCTTCATCAGGAAAGGGAAGATTCAGTCTACAGCATCCCAATCACCGTCTCACTCAACGGCAAGACGCTCTACAGTACCGTTCGTTGTAGGCTATACGCTAATAGACGATCTAGATCATAAAATTTTGGAATGCAATTCCAGGTATGTGGTATTCTCTTTTGCGCAGATGCTAGCCCACCATACCGCTGGCGGATGTTCTTTGCGCACAGGGGATCTGATCGCCACCGGTACACTTAGTGGACCGTCTCGCAAGGAGCTCGGATGCCTCCTCGAAGTCACAAAGAATGGCTCCGAGCCCTACGAGTTGCTCACGTCAGGACCAGAAGCAGCAAAAATCGTTCGAAGATACTTGGAAGATGGCGATATTATCGAACTCAAAGCATCTGGTTTCGGGATTTGCTCCGGGCGTGTTGTATCAGCCGAGTAACGCGTTCAATGCATCCTTAGTCAAACACCAGCACTTCGGCTGGGTCTTCGAGCCTGAAACAATGTTGGTCGCGAATATATTTACTGAATTTCAATTGAGAAAGGACGCGAGGAGCTACCAATCGCTCATCTTGGTCCGTTTTCCTTTACATACTACTAGCGAGTTGAGCTCGGATTCTCAGCTTGCCGCCATCTTTTATGCAATCCCGTAAGCCGTGGTGTCCCCACTTTATAGAGTTCGCTGTCTGTGCTTTTTATTGCTCGAATCTCGTTCTTGGCGGCGCCCTTGCGTAATAAGTCCCGCCTGAAAATGTATGAAATGTGGCAACTATTCGCCTGACTACTCTTCCCGTCATTGGGCCCCCATACTTTCGATGATCCAAGCCTCGAGCGCGCAAACGCTAGACCGACAAGCCCATCCTGGCGAGTGATTTATCGCCAAGATTACCCCGGATCGGAGACAACAAAAGCAGTGTGGAGGTGTGGGGGTTGTGTTCGGCATTATTGTAGTCGCGCCTCCGTTGGCCAGGGCAGCAATTTGTAGGAGCTGCGATCCTCCTCAATCCAGTCTTGTCCAACAATCATGGCTTCCACTTTGCCCCGAGAACGGCGTCGCCAGCGCAAGACCTCCCAGAAGGAGCGAGTCTGTCCGGTGTGCTCGCAAGCCTTCAAAAAGGCAGAACATCTAGCCCGCCACTTTAGATCCCACACGAAAGAGCGGCCGTTCATGTGCCCGGTCTGTGACAAGCTCTATGTCAGACGGTTTGTGTATCCTATGCAAGACACATTAGCGCATCCCTGACTTGACTAGGGACACTCTCTTACGGCATACGCGGTCGCAACACCTCGAGAGCGAGTTGCATGAACAGCCACACAATGAAGTGACAAGCGACCTAGCTCCAGATCCGGTCGCTCTGAAGCAACCGATCGGGGCGTCAACCGACTTGACTAGCACATGTCCGCCGATTCTGAGCGATCTACCCGACCTCGAATACCCATCACTCACCCACGATGCTAACTCGGCCACCATCTCCTTGTCAACACATTCCCTCGATTACGCCTCTTCCACCGCGCAAAATATTTGCGACTATGAAGATGAACTGGGAGCTGGATTCGTTGCGGCTGAGGTGACCGGCATCAGAGAATGGCCAATCTTCTGGAGTGACCAGTGGGATGAAGTCTGGACGTCGTTGTTGACTGCAGATGATTTCGATCTGGATGCGGTAAACCAGACCTTGTTGGCGTCAACGGACCAGAGGCCACAGGATCTTGCACTGCAACCTGCATTCGTTTCTTCCGCTCCCGAATCGCTCTCCGAACCTACAACGAGTCTCACAACGGTACAAAGAAGATGGCACACCTTTTCTGAGACAAAGGTCCCGTCACAACGGGCCTCACCTGAGCCCCTGGGTTCCGGTGCTGCTGGTCAGATACGCACCCATGCCGATGATCATTATCGTCAAAACTTGATGGAAAGCCTACAGCCTCGCGTGCAAGCTGGAATCTTGCCTTCTACCAACTTTCTGGTATGGCACAACTGGTCAATCTTCTCTGCCTACCCCGCTAAGAAAACCGCAGGACTTTTGTCTTCGAGCTTACTTTAGTCATTTCCAAGCCATATTCCCTCTGATCCACGCCCCGTCTTTTCATCCTTCAAGGAAGAATGCAGTCCTACTTCTTTCCATGTGTTCGATTGGGAGCTTATTCCTTAGCTATCCAAAGGCATTGGGACATGGAATAAGCATGTTCGAAAGGTTGCAAAAGGCTATATTGGCGTCGGTAATAATCTTCCATCGCTCAATTATCATCTTACAAGGTTATCATGAAACAAAATCATCCGCTGACGGACCTAGTGGGATACATATATACAGTCGCCGAATCCCGCCCACCTACATGCTATACAAGCTTCTGTGATCGGGCAGACCTTCGGTCTTTTGATGGGGGTAAGAAACAAACTCAGTCCGCACATTCCCAGTTCCATAAACGTCATAAACGACTCGGAGCTAATTGCTTACCAGCGCCCAAGGGACTTGGTCGGGATAGAATTCTTCCATGGAACTATGGTAGCCGTAAGCGACCACGATACCACTTACTTTCGAAAAAGGACCTGTCGAAGCTAATCTTTCATAGTGGGCGCGAAAAGTAAGGTTATTTGTTTTTGATGAGGACCCGCCAGGCAATATCGAAAATCTACAGGATGATAGCGACGCACTCAGATTAATGTGGAAGAGCTGGGCTCGGCTGGAGGAAAAGAAACGGTATATTCTCAGCGCAATTCGGCATTGTATGACCACCAAGGCTAACAAAATCTGGTTCATAGTATTGTCCTCGCACTTCACATTCACGACACCGAACTTGCAAAACTCCATCACCACGAGCCAATTCTTAGACATGCACCGGAAAATCTACCACATTTGTCTGCTCCTGAGTTATTTGCGGCACCGTGCCCAAAGTCCTGGAAGGCTCTATTTCTCACTACGAAACAACCCGTCCAAGGGACACATCTACCAGTAGGGCGGTCGAGCCTCCTCAGAGAATTTCCACAGAATGATTTCCTATCCTACGCCATGCTTGAGTCCATTGGTGCACTTGCCTATGAAGAAAGAAGCAGTGGCCACTCAGGCCGCGCCGTAGGGCAGCAGTGCGAGGAGTTTTTGATAGAGTGGTACTGGAAGTATGCGCAAGTTTCCAATGCAAGCAAGCATCCGGACCATTTCTGCCTCATGATCCTATGGCACTCGATATTCATGCATCTGGACACGGGATTTGATCAGCTTGAATGCGCCTGTGGAAGAGAAGGGGAAGCCGCCACACAAAGGAATCGACCGTATGCGTCCAACTGGGCAAACTCCCGGGCTGCAACACGTACCCTGCTCCATGCGACTTTCATCCAGCAGCATTTCCAGCTCCTACCGATTGGTGCTGAGACTGCAATCCATGTTCCAATGGCGCTGTATAACTGCGGACTTGCATGGGTTTGTTTTACGCGGTTCGGCTCTGGCATTGGTGACTCATTCTTTGATCTTGCGACACTCTCCGAATTCCCTGAGATCAAGCTCTTTGGTCCTAGGCAGTTAAAATCCTTCCTCGATATCAGGAGTAATATCCAGGGGCAGAAATCTGAATTCGGTACATTGTTTAAGATTATGGATCTCTTGGGGAGAATCGGCCATTGGAAAGTCGCCGGGAGCTTTGCAACAACCTTGAGGGCCCTTGTAGATACACAAGACCTTTTTTGACCAGCCCTATCTCTTCTTTCCCAGTGTATTTAGAAGTGAATAGGTGTCACCATTGGCCCCGTGAAGCTCAAAGATAAACTGAAACAAATTCTCAACTGGCCAAGTGTGCTTCGTAAGCTCCAGTAGTTACTAGGATATATTAATTATATACTCGCCATGGGTTGCTTGTGCAATTGAAACTTCCCCCACCCCTTCCATTTCAAAGTGATCTGAGCAGAAAATCAGGCCACACTGCTTGTCCTAACAGTTCATTCAGGGTGCTCTGGGAAAAGTGAATACCAACACAAGCATCAAGCTCGTTTTATGTCTGTGAGTATATAGGAGGAATGTTAATTCCTGAATCAAGGACGCTTTCCATTGAGATACAAGCTAATTCTAGACGAACTTCATTTCGTTCCGAACCGTTGACAACCCCTCCAACTCCACCTCGACGATATCACCATCCTTCAAGAACTCTTTCCGGAAGTATCCCACCCCAGATGGCGTACCAGTCATAATAACAGTTCCCTTCCGTAGCGTTGTTCCACGGGATAAGTGAGCAATAATCTGCCGCACCCCAAATATCATATCTCCCGTGCTAGTCTCCTGCTTGGTCACACCGTTAACGCGTGTGCGCAGCTGTAGTGCCTGTGGATCTGAAATTTGCTCTGCCGAGACAATTGTGTGGCCGATGGGACCAAACTTGTCAAACGACTTGGCGTAGCAAAATTGTCCGCCGGAGGCTTCTGGAAGCTGGAAATTGCGAGCGGAAACATCATTTCCGATCGTGAAGCCGAGAACATAGTCTAGGGCATTCTCCTCGGTAATATTCAAAGCATTCTTCCCAATAATCACAGTCAACTCGCCCTCGTAGTCAAGAAGCTCCTGTGCATCAGGGTGAATTGGAATCTGCTCAAATGGCCCTGCTAGGGCATCGGCAGGCTTAGTGAAGACGGGAGGATACGTCGGTACAACAAGCTGATAGTATCTTTCATTAGTCGGCACGTTTTCACTGTTTTTATATATGAGAGGGCTCACCTTTGCTTCCTCGGCGTGGGCTCTGTAGTTCAGGCCGATGCATATGATCAGAGGTGTTTTCTCGATGGGTGCCAGGAGCTTAGAAGATGACGATTAGTACAATATGCACGACGAGGGTATCCATTGAAATAACGCACAGAATCGACCGTGTGGTACTCTTCTGTCTGGATTAATTCATCCTCGAACAGAGTTCCTTCCAATCGGCGAACGACATATTTTCCGTCTCTGGCCTCCACCAAGTCACCGTAGTGGACTTGGCCGTTGCTGGAAAAGCGCACCAAATTTTTGAATGAAGACATGCTTTTATTACAGGTAACTTGGATCGGGAGACTGGAAATAAGGCATGCAGATGATCGGATTTTGGGAGTATTTAAGAGGAAGTGTGTATGCCGCAATCGTCGCGTCGGAGCGGGTTCCTACCGGGGGTGACCATTTAGGCCCCACCGGGAATCCGGGGACAGCCTCCGTGCGGGGCATAAGTCCAAATAATATAGATATTTTCACGCTCACTCTTGAATACAAGTCCAAGTCATCCAGATTCTTGAATAATCTTTCACGTCAAAATGGTCGAATCAACCCCCACCCTCAATTGCGGCAGGATGCTCGCCGATACGGTGGCTATGGGCCCCGATCAGGAGTCTCAGGCCGCCTGGCTCAAAAAGCGCAATGTCAATATTGACAAACGTATCAAATTGACAAGGCTATCGCACATGCGCTATCAGCATCCTGACCTCGAGACAATCCATCAGTTCCTGCTTGACTTCGGACTACAGGTGGCCTTGCGAACGGACACTGAGGTATGGTATAAAGGATACGGGCCAGATCAGTACGTGTACTATGCAAAGAAGGGTCCGAAGAAGTTCCTTGGTGGAGCCTTCTGTGCGGCCAGCTGGGATGAACTTGAAAAGTAAGATCCTCATCATTCTGTTTGTCCCTGAGAGCCCAAAACTAAAGTCGATACTCTAAAAGAACCTCCAAGCTTCCTGAAGCTGGGCCGATCGAGCGGCTGCAAGATGCACCAGGCGGTGGTTTCATTGTCACAGTGTCAGATCCAGAAGGATATCCATTGAATGTTGTTTGGGGACAAGAGCAGGTTCAACCCGACTCGACCTTCTCCACTGACAAGATCGTCCTCAACTTCCCAAAGGAGAAGCCTCGCATTCGAGAGTTCAACCGATTCGAAATTGGGCCAGCCGCTGTCTACAAGGTAAGAATTTCAAACCCTACACCCAAAAGATTATTCACTTATTACTGTTCAAGTTGGGCCATTTTGGACTGTGCACCCAGAAATTTGAGGAGCAGCTCGAGTTCTACACCTCCTCTTTCAACATTGTCCCCACAGACTTTGTATACATAGAACAAGACGGCCATCGAATTCCAGCCACGGTATTCATGCATCTTGATCTGGGAAAGGAGCCCATGGATCACCACTCTTTTTTTCTATCTGCCAACCCCAAGGGAGCTCATGTGCACCATAGCTCGTATGAAGTCCATGACTTCGACGCCCAGCAGCTAGGACACCAGTGGCTTACCGGAAAAGGATATCGCCCAGCATGGGGTATTGGCCGTCATGTTCTTGGATCTCAGATCTTTGATTACTGGTGGGATATCTCAGGGAATATGGTTGAACATTACGCAGACGGTGATCTAGTTAACGCAGAGACCCCAATCGGATATATGCCTGCAGGCGAGGACTCATTGTCTGTGTGGGGCCCCAAGGTTCCTGGTGAGTTCTTAGAATAATTTTCAAGGTAGCCAAGGTAGCTAGAAGGATTTTGCGTACAATTTCCCAAGAATGATAAATATCTTTCAAATACTCGTGCGAGCAGGCGTGACCTATCTCCCCTCTTTACCGACCACCCCGCAAGCAACTTGCCCGAATAAATCCACAGCATGCGGTACTTAGAAGTAATAATCTGCAGCTTGAACTAGCGTTTATTGCATTCTGGGACTATTCACCGAGAACCAACCCCTTCCCCACCATCCCTCGATGCGGATACTGTGTTTCCGGTGGGAACTACGCCATTGTCCCGCATACGGTACGGTAAATCGACTTACTTTGCAGCCACGGATCACACCTTGAACGTATCGGCTGATACTTCGTAGATCTCGTTATAACGTGCCTAGCCTCTCCTGCAGAACTAGGAAATAACATAACGTTTCCTATAATATACTATGCGAATTATCGAGATGGATGACTATGAGCAGACTGATGTCCTGATCTGCGGCTGTGGCCCAACAGGGGCAATTCTGTCTGGATATCTTGGAAAAATGAGCATCCACAACATTGTCTTGGAAAAGGAACCGGATATTACAACAGACCCAAGAGGCATTGCCCTTGATGACGACGGCATTCGGGCGCTACAAGGGCTAGGGCTGTATGAGCATGTCTTCGCCGATATTGGATCAAGTTAGTATGCGTGTGCCCGTCCTGGGAAGTTCACCAGTACTAAACTTGCTTCTACCTAGCTATTCCGCGTGTCCGGTTTGTGAGCGGTATTCACCAAGATCTTCATAAGACCCCGTTTCTTTCGTTCGACACCTCCTCGGTGAGTGTCTTGATTATTTAACTCAATCTCCCAAGCAAACATCTGACATTTGTATTCCAGTCGGAGGGAAACACAGGGCATATAGGCGCGATGCGCCAGAAGCAGCCCGCCCTGGAAAAGCACCTGCGCTCTGTGATTGAAGGCTCAAAATTTTCCATGCTGAGGTCCAGCTGTGCCTTGACCTCAATAGACGAAGACAATAATTGGGTGTATACTAGCTACCGGGATCCTGCGGGTGCTGAAAAGAAGCTCCGGGCCAAATTCCTGGTTGCCGCAGATGGAAAGACGGGGTACACGCGGAAACACTACCTGGAGCCAAAGGGTATCCAGCTCGAATGGGCTGAACGGTGAGACAAAAGCCTCCTCCCACTTTCCCTCGACTTACGGAAGCTGCTTTGCTTACATTTTTGAACCCAAGAACCAAGTATGACGAGACCTGGGTTGCGCTCAACTGGAAAATCCAGCTTCCGACACCGGAAAGTCACCCGGAATTCCCATTGTGGGAACTGGGCTACTCCCCAGAAACCGTGTACGATCTATTTTTTCCCGATGACTTTCGATTTCTTTGCAATTCGCGTCGCCCCGCCGTCTGTGGCCGGTTCGGACTGCCTGAAGATCGACTTTGGCGCTTTGAGTTTGTAGTTGGCTCAGAGGAAGATGGAGTGGAAATGGCAAAGCGCGATAAAATCAAAGAGGTGGTGGGCCCTTATATTACACACCCAGGAAGCCGATACGGGTGAGTTTTCTCTTCATCATTCTTGAGGCTGAAAGACGCTCTGACGTTCTCAATAAATCAGCTTGCCGGGTGTTGTTGAGTTTCCGGAAGACTGCATCCAAGTTCTTCGCTCAAGGCCCTTTCGATTCTCGGCCAGAAGCTGTAACAAATGGGCCCTCGGTCGAACCATTTTGTGTGGAGATGCAGCGCACGTTTTCCCGCCATGTATGTCTACCCCAGCGAGCTTCAGTCCATTTCACGACTAATCAGACCGTCTTCATCGCTATTGCAGTCGGCGGACAAGGAATCGCTTCGGGATTCAGAGACGCAATTGGGCTCGCGTGGCGTCTATCAATTCTATGCTCTTCAAATCAACGCCTCGACCACTCAGCCATACTCACCGGATGGTACCAGGAACGGAAGCAACAGCTCGACAAGTCTTTGGCAGCAACCGTACGCAATGGAGATATGGTAAATACGAAGAACGTCCTCCAGGGGTTAATTCGTGACTGGGCTTTGTGGTCTATGCAGTGCATTCCTTCATGGAAACACTGGCTCGAACTAGGGCCAAGGGCCGAAGGGCCGGTCCAGTACGCCCATGAGCCCGGCCTACCATTTCTCCCTGGTATGAGCGGTGGAGGCTGCTTTGCCCAGACGTACTGTGTTGCTGTTTCGGACAAGGAGAGCCGAGCTTTTTTCACGGACGATGCCATTTTCGCCTCTAGCAAGATATGCCCATTTCAGGTTGTGATTCTGTTGCCGCATCTAGAGGCCCTAATGCCGACTCTTGGTGAGCTCGAAGGAATTGAACAAGTGGCGCCTCAGCTCTTGCGCTTTAGTGAAGCTACGATCTTCGTCCCTCGGAAATCGGTGCCTCCAGGTGCCGAAGCACCCAATAGCAGGCTATACCGCTCGGCCACCGCAGAGGAGTTCGGCAAATCTAGTTTATGCAACGGCCGCCCTTTCCCGCGAGGGTACAATGAGGACCTCATGTGGCAGAGTATGTCAGGGAAGCGGTATGTTATCCTACGGCCAGACAGATTTGTTTTTGCGGCGTGTAAGACGGTGGCCGACTTGGGCGTGGCCGCACGCCGGCTGGAGGCGATGTTTTCCGTATAGTAGTTTTGATTAGGATCATGGTCGTTCTTCGCCTGCTTGTTCAGTTCCATAAATCATTTGGAATGATCCGGAATATATAAGCAGCACTACGCCACTTATACTGGTTCCTTGAAAACGCGATCTCTGATTCATTCAAGGTGTCCTTGCATAGACCTAATTATAAAACATTTAAGCAGTGGTGGTTTCTGATTTGCCTACTGTCCAGCATTGACAACGTCCGTATAAGACAAATTCTCGGGTTCCCCTGGAAGAGTTGGAAGTTCAAGGGTGATATCATCAAACGATGTGCAAGCGTCCATCAGAATTTGTCTCTGCAGATTAATCGAATAAAACGAAGCTTGTTGTTCTCTGCCTCGTTCTAACGCTTGGAAGGGAAGAATGGCGGCGCTTCCAAAAACAGATGCTTCATAGAGTATTTGCGGGAATCCGGCGACTGCATATGTGGTGCTGACTTCGCCCAGGGAATGGAGGCACTGTTGTAGTCTTCGATAACCTTGCGGACGCAAGATGGGATTGGACGAGGTCATCTCCAGGATGTGGACTGCAATAGCAGGCATGACAACGTTGACTGCAGTTATTGGGAGGTATTGAATTAAATGATTGCCCGAAAGCTGTGACATCATCTCTGTCACCGCGCGTGCTTCTTCGCTCACTTCTGGAGTTATGGTTTCCACGAAAGGGAGTTCAAACCGTTCGAATAAAAATATATTTATCTGAGCTGATGAATATAACATACGAACCAGCGATTTTAATGTCTTTACTATGACATTTGTTTCTGGCTCAAAGAGACCGTCATATCGCAATTGTCTGTCTCTAAACCATCTGTACAGCTCACCACTGCAGTCCCGCATGTTGTCAGAACACCTTTGAAGGCTGCAACTGTTCTCAAGGATGCTGAGTTTCGGGGTGATGAATCTGTATTTCAGAAAACGTCCAATATGGACAGAGAGTGTGCTGAGATCTAGAAACGCGACGGCAAGTTCTTTTTGCGAACTAGCATTGGACAGGTGGGCCGAGTCTTCCATGAAGCGCAATAAGGGCTTCGAAGCAATGTTTCTATCGAAGTCGTCTAGAGCAAGCGGGGGTACGTTGAAGGACTCGTCTTCGATCCGCGCAGGTCTCCGCATCCAGAGCGCTGTCAAGCGATCGCGTATATACACAGCCCACCACACCCTCCTGCGTAATCCCCGCTGGGCAGGGGACATGTTTAAGGTGTCCGGATTCTGATCATTGTGTAGTCCGAGTCTTTGCGCCCCTGTAACGCTGAGTCCGGCCCAGTCCCAGCAGCCGGTTGGCTCATCCGGTGTCCCATGCCACAACGTTAACAGAAGGAGACCTTGAACAACGACCAGAATGTCGTCTTCCACATCTAAGTCGTACAGTAACTATTAACCAGTCAGCATTACTGCCAGTTTGTCACTCGTAGCAGGGAAGCCCCACTTTTGTTCTGTAGAAAAGTGTTTTCCGTGCAGATTCCCTGCCCTTGTATCCAGCTATTGTGAGGAATATCTCGGGAACGAAAGAGACTGATGCAAATAAGATAGCTTGCATCAGGAAAACGCTTACTCGGGATTCTGCCCGGTCTTCGCAGATGCTGGAGAGAAGCTCCTCAAGGTTGAGAATTGGCATGTATGGATGAACGTGATCGACATAGGCCCTAATGAATACGCGAAGGTCGTTCCGTTCGGGCACATTCATCGCTTCCTTGATCTGTAGGAATCGGATATCTTCATCATTCAACCGACGCGGAAGAGGCTTCAGGAACCTTAATCGATCAGGGAACTGGCGCGATACACCGGCGGGAGGAGGGCGTTCGGTTGCACCCTTATATGCAGCAAATCGATCCGGTGGAATGGGCGGTGGCTTCGCTGCTTTTGATGGCCTTGGAGGTCGATTTCTAGGAGATTTCGCACCCTCAGATTCAAACATACTAGCAGAATGTTTTGGAACAAGAAGCCAGACCAACCTAGCTGTCTGCTTTCTCCCCTCGGTGAGGGTGCATTGCATGTGATCCGACCGACAATTGGTACATGGCATTCCCTGCCTCAAGGCGTCACATCGGACCTTTCGGTCGCGGCATTTAATGCACGCTTGGGATGCTCGCGTTGCTGGTGTTTTTGCGATTTTGAACTCGAAATTTCTAGACTGCTCCTGTTCCTTGTAGGCCATGTTGTTGAGCACTGATAGCAAAAGACGCAATGAGTGGGTTCTTCGGGCCTTGCAAGCAGCAAACTATCCACCGGCAGCAGTTCAAGCGGATCATAAAGGGGATATCTCACAGATGTGTCTGGCATGCCTGATGGGGGTATTTCAAACTCGAGTCAACCAGATAGTTCCCATGTGGGACTTATTTGCGGCCCGCGGGAACCCGGTGCCCCGTGTTTTGTAGCCTCCAGAGTTCAGAATAAATATTGTATTGTGCCCGTCCCAATATTTCCGTGTGATTATTGTATAAAATCAATGTACTGTCCTGCAGTACAAGACCGTTTACCTTGCCGATTTATTACAAAGCCAATCCAATGTACCCCTATAGGCTCAACTAAGCATAACTGTTGTCGGCGTGAAGCTTGAAAATCATTAAGTTTGGTTACTGTAAAGAAACTCTGCATGAAAATCTGAACGAATATGATATCATGCCAGTGTTGCCCGCGTCGTGAAATATCGACCAAAATCAGCCACAATTGTTATCGCACTGATACTGAAATTACCTTTCTACGCAGCGTCACTTTATTGTTTGTTAGAAAATGCTGAATCTCATTGCCGCTCGGCATGGCGCAAAGTACATCCTAAAAACTCAATTTCGCCTGGTTTATGTCCGAGTGTGTAATCGAATACATTTTTTGCCCATTCTTTTCATTCAATTTCCCCACATTAGTGCTATGTATTGAAAGAACGCACAAGGGAAAGCCCTTCTGTTGCCCCAGACAAAAGAAGAAATAGACTTAAACATTCAAGGTCGTCAATCTTCATTCCCTAAGCCCCGACAATGCGTATATTCCTTGTTTTCAAATAGATAAGATCATATTTGGGTACTAGCTCCCAAAACGGGGTAGAAGTTTTGCCAATAGTCACCACCAAAGCTCTGATGATATGTCAAATGCAAGGTGTGGGGCTTGTGGGACCATGCGATTACGCTCCTCCTCTACAGAGTTTCCTAGGCAGGCATAGGGTAGTTTATCATAGGGCCCATCGCAATTGATGGGAAGATGATTTTAATGTGGGAACAATAATCAAGGCGTTATGAACGCACTATTCTATCGGACTAGCTCAGCCACTAAAGCAGGAATGTACTGAGACATTTCAAGATTAATAGCTGTTCCTCCGTGAAGAAACTGTATGGGCATATATTAACGGCCCTCATGGGCTCTAGGATCATTGCAATGTATCCAGCCGATCGGGGAACGGAATGCCGAGGCTCCGCGATTGCGGTTCCTATCTGACTGTGAGGAGAGCTCAGGTTTGTCAAACGTGCGGGGTCTGATGAATCCACGTGCATAACGAACAGCTTCATCATCGAGCATTGTTTGGCAAGTGTTGCATTCTGCGTATGGCTGCAAAAGAGTTGGCGGGGTAGCTCCACAAATCCGTCGAACTAATAGGGCGGGCCCACATGCCAACAAGGCTCTGGGACAGGCCTTCTGCACCCAGAACTCGCAAGTCACCCCTTCAGGTCTACTTATTTACTAAGAGCTCACGCCTTGCCTTTATGAATTTCCGATGGGTCAACGAAAGCACCTCGGGTATTTCAACACTAAAGCGTTAGTGCAGACTAAAGCGGATGAAAGGCTGTTCTTGTCTTCCATGCGATCTTCGCCTTTCACTCCCAAGGCTTAGTTGTGGGGCCTACGCCGACTGAAATATAGTTATATCATGTGGAAGCCCCCGAAGACTTAGCATGCAAACATCAGCTACAGAATTGGAAGTTTCAGCATGTTTTTCAAATCATTTTCATCTTATCTCTTGGTGTTGTCTCTGCCATATCCTTTAATTTGGGCACTTGACCCGGTGCAATCTGTTTCGGAGATCGGTTTAGGTATTTGGGTCGAAAATTTGGCAGTTCGATACACTGGTCAAATACTTGCGGCCAGTCTCGAACCTTCGCTTTACCAGATCGATCCAGCTGGTGGCCCTCCCACTGTCCTGATGAATTTCCCTCCCCCGATCACAGGGATCGCTGGTATAACGGAGACCCTTCCTGATGTGTTTTACCTCGCGGTTGGAAACATCTCGAACCGGACTATTTCGGCTAGTCCAGGAACAATGTCTGTTTGGGAAGTTGATTTGAACCAATGGCATCCAGATTTGGATCCGAAGTATTTTGCAAGGAAGGTTGTCGATTTTCCAGAAGCGACTATGCTCGATGGAATGACGACGCTGAATGCTATCGAGGGTCTGATCTTGATAACAGATCCCGTGGGAGGAGCAATCTGGAGCTTGAATGTGGAGACTGGTGCAAAACAGAACATTCAGCTTCCCTTCATGAAATCTCTTGACGGCCATATTCCTGCATTAGGGGTGAACGGGATCAAATACGCAGACGGGGCTTTATACTGCACTAGCACGGACCAACAACTATTTGTTCGTCTGCCAATTGATGCATTAGGAGTGCCCACAGGCAGTCCTATTACAATAGCAAGTGGATTTGGCCAGCCGGATGATTTCGCCTTGGACGAGGCTAATAATGCTTATGTGGCTGTCAATGCAAACAGCCTTGTTCTTATTCAGCCCAACGGAGACTTTAGGACTCTGGCGGGAGGGGACAGCTCGACTGCACTTGCTGGCATCACTGGAGCTAAATTCGGACGTAATAAGCATGATCAGAAAATTTTATATGTATCAAAAACGGGCGGGTCTTCGAGCTATTTTACAGGAAATTTTCTAGTCCCAGGGGGAATTTCGAAGGTTCTGATTTGACGAAAGTCCGACACAGTCCAATTATTCATTCTTCTTCGGGATAGGGATTATTTTACATCGTGCTCCTCGCAGGGAGTTGCAGTCTAAAGAAATCACTCTTTTATCACTCCCAAGGCAAACTTCCATTTTGTGTTTGCCTGGTCAGTTGCTGTACATGTCTTTTTTTTTCTCCCTTTCTCGCTAGTGAGGTGATATGCTTACTCATGCAGATTCGTGCACAGAGCCCAGTTGGCCATTGAGCAAACAAAATGATGTGCTCGGTACGACCAATTGCGTGCCTAGGGATCCGAAAGGAATATGATTATTTATGAGTATTCATGAATATTGGCGAATATGAATAATATGAATTGAATAATAGGAATATGAATATGTTGAGTATCACGGTGGTCAAAGCATGTAGTGGGGATCATCAAGAGACAGATAAATAGATGAGAAGCCCCACCTCCACCAAGATAGTCAACTTAACCAATACAAAATACCTATCTCAACAATATTATTCAATTCATTTTATTCATATTCGCAAATATTAAGGAATATTCAGGAATAATCATATTCCTTTCGGATCCCTAATTGCAATAGCATCACCGTCATTCTCAAGAGTATCACGGTCATTGACAAACCTTCTGTGTTCTTTCGCATAGGCACAATTCCACTCGCCAGAGGGGTCTTGATGCCGTCGATCATGAATCAGCTGATTAACATGGGCACGCCGCTCATCTGACAGAGCCTGATACTGGCTTGCCGCGGAAATCTCGAAAGCTCGATCGTAGATCATACTATAGAGTTCAGGTTGGGTAAAATCCATTTGAGTGCGCTCTACCCGAGCCCATGTCGCACTCTGCTGTGGGAGAGGATCGGCTCTGAAAAACAGATACCCGTCGTAGACATTGCGAAGTTGGGGCTGACTCATGGCTGTGGTGGGTGAATGCAGAGTAAATTGTAAATCGCAAGGTATGTGAGGGTTAATAGGAGATTTCTCAAAGGATAGAAAAAGCTTTCCTCTGTCAATCTTTACTTATACTTTTCTAACCCCAAAGGATGTGGCGTTTCCAGGGTGCCACCGGATGAAATGACGCTAGCTCTAATATCAGCCAATGATTGGAAGGGATGGAATGATGAGGCTGAGCTGCTGAGACAAGCCAGATAGGCACCAGAGATGATTGAGGGATGCAGCCCATTACCCAGGCGAGGGCCATGGAGCCACTAGTATCAATGCAATGGTAAAGGACGCCGAAATGAGCAGAAGCCTAGTATAGCTAAAGAGAAGGTACTTTGATGAACCATCTGTATACAGGTTTGGTGGTTGGGAACGTAGTACGTACGGATCAAATTCTATTCATCCAAGCCTCTTCACCAAAGAAGCAGTCTTTTCAACTTCTCTAACCTGACAAGATTAGTACCATTGAAATCTTCGAGGCGGAGAGTTGCTCTATCTAGCCACTCATTGAGTTCTTCTCCGGCAGCAGAGACCAGTATCGGTATCTCAGCTTCCGGAAGTCGGGTGCAGCGTTAAGAGCTCGGGCTAAATGGTTGCAAACAATTTCGGGAAATGTCCATGAACCTAGAACAGAATGTAATGTGATGGCTCCACCAGGCTTGCAGGAAATCGTTCAAGGCTCCGCTCTCAGAGAAATCAGCGCTGACCCTTGAACTCCTTCGGACAAGTACCGGAGCTCAAGATTCGAAGCAAATTAGACGGACACCGATCTGTCCGCAGAAGGAATCGGCGAAAGTAGTCGAATTCGTGCCCCAAGTGGCAAATCACTCGAGCCAAAAGTAGTCTACATACAGTGCCGATAGGAATACGCTCGCTCAGTGGCAAAGGAATGTTCTGTGATCAACCAGAAGAGTAAAAGCACCTCCACCTGGGCGATACAAATGGGCCGATCAATCCTGTATTGAGGTGAGCTGGGTTTACGTGCTTAACATTCAGTCCAGCGGCATTGCCATTTCAAGACTATGGATCAGCATCAGGGGGCACCGGGATCCCAGGAATACCTCCACCTGTTCACGGACACTTGGAAGATTATGAACAGCTCTCGAGTTGGAGATCACATCTCACAAGGTTTCCAAACACCGCGGCCCGTAGTATCCATGTTCCGGCCTTGTGATAGACTCTTGCTATGGTCAATGATCACACCCCCCCCTCCAGACTAGTGGTACACCCGGCCCAATTCTCTTGCACCGGGTCTTTAGCATGATACCTATGTTCTAGGATATTACCTGACGGAAAATTTGGGTAGTATGCATTGTATTGCACAAGGATAGTCTGGCGTGGAGTGGTGTGGAGGAGAGGCTCTGTGCTAGACTAGGCGGGCGTTCCACTCCGTTCCCGATCAATCTTTCTTCCACAAGCATCCCATTACGTCGACTTGCCGCTCCCCTTCCATTCTTCCTGGCCTCCAAAGATCGCTCACTCATAATTCCAAGACGTTATTGGGCCATCAGAGCCGGAATTCCCAGGAGAGCCCACCCAGACTGACCACTGAGCAAAATCGCGGACGTCCAACATATTCTGCAAAACCATCCATCAGAAACAGCTAGCGCGTTTGACACAGCTGTGAATATATCAAAGGTATGCCTTGAAAAACCTTTCGATGTGATCCGGTCTATCTAACTGATAGTGCATCTTGCTCGTAGTCTATTTGATGCTCATCGAGCGACACCGAACCTCTTAACGCTTACACCTTAAGACGAAAGAGGGGAGGAGCCTTATTATCTGCCGGATGCCAGGCCGCGTGGGTGTGTCAATAAAGGTCCATGGATTCCGTTGGTGCGTATTCAAACGTGCTGTGAGATATTGCACCACTACTTCAAGTCACACTTCCGGCTTCACTTCCCAACAATGATAATTCTCGTGGCCGGGAGGCGGAAATTGATGGAGGATCCAAAAGCTAATGAAACCACATCCGAGTATTTCTCACATAAACACACAGGACATTGATAATTGGTGTCGAGGTGATTCTTCAATTCTCCACGCATATCTGAGCAATAGAAGTGTTATCTGACAGCATGTGGTCTCGAAAGACGCGCCCAAACCATTGGCTCCTAAAGAAAACAATTAATGCTGGTATCTAGCCTTATTTATTCTCTATCAACTACCATCCTCCGAAAGCCCCGATCCCATGACCCCAGGACCCGATCTCATATCAACACCATCGTGAGGAATGGCCAGAGAAATACCATCAAAGGTTTATATGTGTTCTGAGCTAGCTATTTGTGGAGATCAATACTGCAATGGCATTACTTGGCTATGAGTGGGCTTCGGATATATATACTTGCGGAGTGAACTCGCAAGACCACCGTGAACCCCATCGACGACAGATACGCGGTGGCTCGAGATGGCCTAACGGATTCATTGAAGACGCTCCCGAATTTGGTACAGAAAGTTGAGCTCATAGGAAGAGAGTCTATCGAGGTGTCCCTGGAAATATTGCAATGCGAGCTCCGCAGCCTGGTGTGCCTCGTCTTTTGTGGGAATATTGAGCCGCATGGAGAGTTGCTTTTTCATGCCGATGACAGCATCACTGCAACCTGCAACGCTGTTCAACTGACCAGATCGTGCTGCCACTCGGTTGGCATGATGTGGGGTCTTTCTGAGTATGTTGGTGGGCTGGATATCATTGCTGGATAGAGCGTTATCGCTTTGGCATAGAGACTGTGACACCGGCCTAACATGGTACATCAGCAAGGGAAGGAAGGATGAAATGACAGAAGAAATACATGCCACCTTCTCGAGCCGCTAGACGGTACCACGTTCATGTTCATCAATGACGTCTCTGATTTCGGATAAGGAACGGTTTCCTCAAATACTGGGCGTGCAGGTGTTAATCAAGTTAAAAACGTTCTTCGAATGTTTCTCCCCAAGTCATAGGAAAATCGGTGATGAATGTAGCGGTTATTACTTCGATACATTGATATGTTGATCTTTTTAACGATTTTGTGCGGGAGTACTGCTAGCTCAGGAGAATAGTTGTAATTCAGCCGTCACACCTAGAAAAGGGGTCACCAATTTCCCGCCTCTCCCGGTCCCAGACTTTTCATTGCGGCTTTAAAGTAGATTTGATTCAAAGAATTACGATGTATTGAAAGCCATCCGTAATCACCTGGTATCTTTACATTCCCAGAAACCGCATTGTGGGGCCCGATGATCCTTGCGCAATTTGAATGCAGGCGAATAAACCCATCAAACCAATCCCGGCTAACCTACAGATCTAGACCTCCGACGATGAGCGTCATCCTCATACCGACAGAAGTAACTACAGTATTCCTGGGGCTGCACTGGAGGATCAGGGGCTCAGACGACTGGTGATTGGCACACCACTCCGGTCGCACAGGGCCAGCGATCATGCAAATGATGGACAGCGTCTGCAGATTGGTATATCTATGACCCCGTCGCCTGGCACTGGCTACTGGCTCATGATGGATTCCCAATTTCCTTTGATCAAGATGGACGGCATATCGCAGGCTAGCGATGGCAGCCAGAAAGGTTTATTCCATCCCTATCACCAGACAATTTTTTATGCCTTACTAACTGAGATGGCACTACAGCCATCCACAAAGCACCTTCATCCTTTAGCACCGCGTCTACAGAGCACGAGGTCCCCATGAATGATCCAAGCGATGCCACCGACCGAGAGATAGAAAATCTTCAGACCAAAAAGAGAGATTGGCGCAAGAACGAATTCCAACAACTGCTCAATCATGAGTCTGACAAACATCGATTGCACTGGTTTGGTCTCGCTACTAGTGGTAGCTCTACGTCCGGAGTACAGAGCACTTCTCCCAGCGCGGAAACTCCCATTCCACGTGAAAAGCTTTGGGAAACAGGCTTGGATGAAATCTTGAACAAAGGCCCTTCAAAGGTTGCTAGTGACCTCTCCCAAAGAAGCCTCGAGAAATTGAAGCAGATCCCTTACGGCAACTTCGTTCGGAAAGCTTTGGATCTACCCTCTGACCAGATCAAGACATCTCTCTGGACATATGAAGTTCTTGATGCCAAGCTTTATTTTGATTTGATCAAGTCCCCGCAGCATCTGAACCAATTGCATGATCTCAAACAGGTAACTCACATTTATAGTCTGCGCCGCCTATCAATGAATTTTCTAACCATGAATAGAGCCTGGCAAAGCTTAAAAGCGACCCTCTAATCTATGCCACCATTGAGTACACTTGGCAAGAGGCCAGCCGAGCAGTACTCCAATGCCCGGCATATGAGGGCCTGAACGGAACCGGACTAGGCGGATTAGCCTTCAGGTTAGAAGCAACTCTTGACAAATTTATAACCCGACCCCTCCAGGAGGTTCTTGAGAGAGCAGACTCGGCGGAAAGGTTATTGCAGGACTTGCAGGTTTTGGGCATCCGTTTGCACGATTCTTTGAGGCCACTTGAGGCAGACTGGAGCACGCCGCTCAACAACAGAAACGATTTTCTGGAGCAATTGCGATGGAACGACGTTCCAGCTGTTGCGAGCCTCATATCACGCAAAGACATGGCTCTCTTCAGAGATTATGTGCCGATCGCCTTCACCAAAGATGGAGCCCAAGCGCGTTCCATCTTGAGCTCCCGGTGGAATCAGCTGATGGTGGAGGTGAAAGAGTGCATGGCTGCTGGGATTGGGCTGGAATCTAAAATTGATGGTCTTGCTCAGGTATGCTGGAACCGTCCCAACTTCAATATCAATTCTGACAGACCTTTTCAGGCCCTCCACACTACTTGCAATTACTATTCCTTGACAGCTGTAGTGCAAGGTATACAAGCGAGCGGCTTACAAACAGAATGCTCGCGCAAGTACGGCAAGCTTATCGACCCCACTGGTGGCTATCAAGCTTATCGCAGCGGCATGGGCGGGAGCCATGCGTTGCATTTTCTTTTACCTGCATTGTCCGCATTTGCGCGGAAAGATTTGACTTACGCAGAGGTGGTTACAAGGGACCTTTCACTTTACATCGAAACTCATCGCTGTCCAGAGGATTCGCCCGTTAGATTTAGTTTCTTGGCTATTTTTACTGCCTGCTTCAGATGCTAGAATAGCGCAATCACACATCCATGCATTCGCAGGCATAACTGCGTTTTTTCACTGACACACAAATAACGACCCATCTCGATTAAGCAATAGCCTGCTCCCCGGCAGCGGTAATTTCCGGCGCAACAAACCTAAGTTGCGTATGATTAGTGTTGAGCTTGCATCTTTCTTCCTTGTGGTAATACCTTTTCTTTGTTTTGAACACATAGTCAGTCTTCAAATACCGTCTATTGGTCCAGCGTCCCGGTTTACCGCTTCCAGGGGGCAACTCTTCGATCTGGGGGAGCCCTATTGCTTTAAAGTAGGTAGAAAGGAAGTCTGCCGGGGTCTTTGATGATAGGCCCATGTGTGTTTGATCGCTTTTTTCCCAACAATGGATATCGAAATCGGCCATCTTATTGAAATATGTACCCCAAATCCTGGTCAACACATTCGGGACACACGTGCGCCATTCCGGAGGACAGAGCAATTCGCAGATATATCTGAATCTTAGATTGTAAAAGGTCTTTTGTCTGGGAGGCAGCCTTCTCAACGACAACGTCTCTTGTAAAAGCAGCGAATCGTTCGCGTGGCAGCTTGAGTTCTGGCTCCTTGTCTGTTGGTTTCCACCCGATGATTTTCCCATAGCTACGCCGGAATTTAGATTCCTCTCCCTCCGAAAGACCTTTGTGAGTCTCGGTGTCCTTCAGTGACTTGAGGTGATTTTTCAAGTCACTCATTCGGGAGTATGACTTGAAACATGCTGGGCAAACGTAGCTTTTGTCCGCCTTTTTCAACATGCCTTTCAATATGAAGGCCTTTTTTTCGTTGCTCGACATGGGGGAAAGACAAGAAAAGAATGACTAGGCAATCTTAGCAAAAACATTCAGTTAATGCAAAAGGTATTTATTGGGGATCTAGGGACATATCGCCAAGTTCAAGATCGCGTCTTCGATTGGGCTTGTAACAATACATGGCCTCCATTTAGCCATTTGATACAATACGTTTACATCGAGTTTTCGTGTTCCTGACAAGGGCACTGAAAAAAGGTCTCAAATTGTCACAGCCAAAACCACGAGTACCATTACACCATTGTCATTCTCCTCTGAGCCCGACCATTTCATCTCCATCACCCTTCACTCGGCTAAGGGTCTTCTCCGCCACGACTGCATAATACTTCCCAAAGCCTCGGAAAAACCATCTAAAAGCCTTGCAGTGCTGACCACCATTAGTCCAAGAGCGACATATTCTCTGGATGGCTTTTGCACTTTGAACGCATCTGGCTGCGTAACACCGAATATGTGGCGCGGTGTCTCCATGAAGATACTTCTCAAGGAATGATATATAAACACAGAGAAGGAGATAGTGGAGCGTATATTGCAGGATGTCCAGTTGCACAACCCGAACTTCAAATTGTGGATCAGAAGCATTGAGCTCACTAGAGAACTCGGCGAAAGATGATTCGATGTAAGACAGTTGACCAACAAGGCCGAGTAGGTTCCATGCTGAGAAGAGGCCGTACCGTGTATTATACATAATGTTGTCTGACACTTCGAGTAGCTTGAAATGAAACATGGTAAATTGATCTTCCAATGGCGAAGGTTTCTATGAGTGCATTGTCAGCCTAGATATTCCAATAGAATTATGGCAGTGGGCACTGACCAAATGTCCTCTACTTCGAAAAAATTCTTGCTCGGAGGTATTGCCATGCGCCTGCTGGTTCATGGAGAACAGCATTTTGAGCCTGACCCAGATATTCCGATGTTCCTCGCAAGTTTGGGACCGATCGCAGCACGGCTCACAGTCTATGACGTCCGCCATATTACAAGCCATCTCAAGATCCACCGATACGTCATTACCGCGATGAAGTCGACCGTAAATGATGAGTATCATCGCCTTCAGTGCCGTCTTTGATGGTTGGAAAGGAGGGTTGTCTACCAATAACGAATCCCAAGCAGCGTTTTCATATCGCTTTGATAAGACGGTAGAAGGGGAAATTCTGTCTGGGTGTTCCTCCGCTTGGCATGCGAGTGCCAGGACGGCGAAAAGTAGGGATAGCCAGGAGAGAGGTGCGACATTGGGATGTTGATGGAAAATCAGATATTCCTTCTCAAAATCTGCATGAGACAAAATGCAAAATAGCTGGTTATCTGTTAGCAGAAGAAATCATCGTCGGTCAGGAATACGAAACTGGAGAAACCAATGCAAGATATCGCCTTTTCAAGTTCTCGGTCATTTCCCAGCAGGGCAAAGCCTTGAGCGGCTGCGCGAATATGACATCTTCGCGATCTAGACTGGTATCGAAATCATCGTCGGTGCCGCTGAAGTCTAAACTGGGAGTCGAGCTCAGGTTCGAGAGGGTGCTCGTGTTATCTCCGAGCGAAAGCCGGTCAGTCGCATCACACGGTTCCTCTTGCTCTTCGGCAGGCGACTGTCCAGTGCTTTCCCAATTGTCTTCAGCTACTGGTGACACCGCTTCCACGAAACTCTCTACTTCCTGACATGGATATTCACATGCGTCTCCAATCTTGCGAGACGTACATGTTCCACAAGGAGGGCCGTTACCCCGGCAACGAATTTTCCGTCGTCGACACGGCAGGCATGCAACTTTCCTCGCTCTGGAAAGCAGAGGCCTGGTTCTTTTGTCAGATTGGCGCTGTGTGTGGCCGTGCATTTCTTCCAGTCACGAGTAGCAACGAATAAACAGTCACCCGGGAATAATCTTTCAATTCTGGACCTGGGCCACCGGAGCTTTATAATATAGCGAACTTAACGTACCTCTAGTCTTGTTGCCGAGATCGAAATATAGTAAAGGACCTTGTCTTCTATGAGATGAGATTCTTCCATACATTTTTATTTTCTATTTTCAGCAGCGGGGGCCCGAGTATCGTTGATTGCTGGTTTAGCCTGAAAAACTCCAGCTAGCTCAGCTAAGCTTCCCTGTTTAGTCACACAACCCAGGGCAAACAGCCGCAATGCCGTGACCCTCCAGATTCCAGGGAACACTAGCTGGATGTCTAGCAGCCGCACCTCGACCCGGGGCAAGACTGGCGAAGCCTCATATTTTTCATCCGCGCGTGACACCATGTGATAATTCTCTCCAAAGCCCATAGCAAGCTGAATAAAGTGTCCTTCATCGGTACCACCGACTTCGGGTCTGCTCAGCCTTGTATGCATGACATCTAAGAGGTAGCTCAGGCCCTCACCACAATAAATATCATGGTTTGGCATTTTCATGATCACAAGCAAAACCTGTGCTGGTGAGAAGTCGGTCCGCTGGATACCCAACGTACGTTGACATTGGGTATGAAAGCCCAATTTAGGCCAGACAGAGAATCTACCGCAGCATTCAGTCACATCAAAGCAAAGACTTCTACATTATTAGCTGAATTGACGCGTCGACACAGAACGGGTTCGACACAGAACCGGCATACCTGCTATATGTACACCGTGCGGGTGGATAGACTTCAATTTCCGACGCGCGTTGCATGGTTTTAGGGACTGGGCAAAAATTGATATTTGTTGCAATGAGCTTTGTAGATGGGGAGTCGGTTGCTTTATACTCTAGACATCTCCGTATAGATAATTCGTCTTCGCGGCTGCTGATCAATGCCCTGCCACGACGAGAGAATATGGGCTACGAAATTGGCTCAAGAAATTATCCTTCTTGAATCCCACGTGCGTGATTGACTAGAACTTGATCCTATTCAAAGCTTTGTAGAAATTTCCTTCCCAGATTCCGCGTGATTATTTACTATGCTCAATCTACCAGAAAATAAACGAGAGTATTGGTGGTATGTAGCTAGCCGGAAACTGGGCCCACAAATTCAATTCTTCATGATATCTCTGCTCCTCATACCCTTCAGACCGACCTCATCAGTCGGTTAATGCAATGTGGCTACGAGACATGTGTATAAACAGAGGCCTAAATTGACACCACAGTTCAAACAGTTACCAACTGTACCCAGCGGGTATGTCGAATCAGATGCTATCTCTGATCACTCTGGAGTGGCAGCTCGGGCAGAGGGTACTCCATGCAAGCACCATCGTCCTTCAGCCACGAGAAAAAGTCCAGAAGAACATCTTTGTTGCTTTGGATCATGACAATTCCTGCTTTGTTCGTATTGTTCGGGTCGTAAATCATGCAGTTTTGAACTTATTCTTCTGTAGCCCAAACGTAGTCGAGATGCTCGTCGTCCCTCAGCCGGATTGGTTTCTGATCCGAGCCATGAGGCCCGTCATGTTCATCGGACCACAAACGTTGACTCTTCATTTTCTCGCTAGTCTTCGCTATGGCCAAATATTTCGCCATCCAATTTCCTTTCTGAAAGAAAGTGACACGGTAGACCCGGCTCGAAGCGGCCCAGAGTGCCAATTCAGTTTCCTCAGCAGTCTCGCGCACGATGGTTTCCAAAATCGTCCCATCTTCCGGGAGTGCCCCACCACCTGGGGTCTCCCATGTCCAAGGAAAGGAATTCTTTTTCGGCTCTCCATCGTCATCTATACCATTGGGAGAGCGCTGGCAGAGTAAGATGTGGGGCGTAGACGGATCATTTGGACGAAAGCCAAGTATGATGGCACTACCACTGACTCTCTCGATGCCATTGCTTTGGGCGAGGAGCGCGGAAAGAGGAATATCGATATCTTCGATAGATAGGGTTGTGTATGGCATGATGGGGGATAATTCCATGAACCACATTTCAGAACCAGGCGAGCAGTATTTATATTTTCAGAATTATCGGGGTAAAGTTTGATCCGACAGCAGAAGGATTCCCGGTCTCCCAACGTGATATTCTCGGATTTCTAGAGTCTCTGGATCAAGCGACTGATGAACACAAAGATAATTTTTCTAATCTGGACGAGTGAGATGACAATACGAAAACCTTTAATTACACCTCATTGCGGGGGCTGACTGGCAAACACCAGCCCCTGCATCGCTAGTCAACGACGATCGCCGTGCCCAGGCTTTGTGATTGTGGGGCTCAAAAAATCGTAACTTATCGCCCGAAGCTAGTAACAGGTCATACTCCAAAGTCTTGGATCAAATCCACTGCCCACATGGTTAGGACCAATCACTGACTCTCCCCTTGAGCTATGCTCACCTTGTTTCCATTCCAAGACGAACTCCAGTCGGAAACACTCATGGAAGGAGTACGCGCCCTTTCGACCCCTACCCAAAGGCAATTCTTTCTCCGGTACTGTTGCCTGGAGGGCAGTAGAATAACGAGGAAGAAATAATTCGCAATTTGGACCCTTGTACGCGAGGCCCGTGTGGACATCATCCTTCCGTTGGTCGCAATGGTAATAAAACGCCTTTGTAGTGCTGCAGAGAACCAAACAGAGAGGACAAACATAATCCTTTTTGGCATTCCTGACAATTTTCCACACAATTGCAAGACTCTTCTCCAAAGTGTTGAATTTGAGCTGGCCTTTTTTTTTCCAGGATAAAATCGATTTCAAAAAAAGTGTAGAATGGCCGACGTCCAGGTCGTCGTTCCGTCTCATGAAATTTGATTGGGAAATCATCTTTCGAGATGGTTTCCCAGCCCATGGCTATCCGATAGCTATCCAAAAATAGGGGGAAATCTCCCTCTCTCTTGGACAACCCTTTGTGAACGCCGTTACGATCCTCCTCGACGTCGAAATGCTTGTATAGCACGTCCTGGTCGCGAAACCCCAGATCACATGCAACGCAGATGAGCCCCAGCCCTGAGCTCTTTGCTAAGTCTTTTAGGACGCAGTACTCTCTCGGGGTATCGAACATCTTGGAGTCGTAGCATTGGCTAACGAATATGGCAATGAAAAAGGAGTGGGGGTATTCCTCTTGGGCATTGAGAGAAGCCTATCGAGCTGATTATATCGTACCCAGATCTGCGAGAATCAGGAAGAGACCCTTTTCATATACAATATCAAACCCGGTAGACATTGCGCCAAAATCGTATGGGATCGAGCTTCGTTCATTAGTACTATGCAAGAAAACTTGATTGACACCGTGCACCTAGCCACTAATCACGAAATATCATTCTCGAAAGCTTGCATTTAGTTTTATTATGAGGGCCTCTACTAAGTACACAGTGGATTTTGCTCGAGTCTAGAGGCTACCGGTGAGCTTTGGTTGTCTTAAATCAGTATCCAGAATGGGAAAGTTACCTAGTGAAAGGGCAAGTAGATCTGATGTAATAGACTACTAGAACATGTAATTCAATTAATTGAATTTGGAACTATGTCGAGAAAACCCGGTGGATTCCTGAGCTGCGTAGATTCTTTCAAAACAATGTTGTGGCCAGAAAAAGATATCTAGTATTCATCGAGTTCTGCGGAGAAAGTTTCACAGAACAGATATGCAACACCTTGTTCTCCAGAGCTCTATATGCTTATCGGCTTAATCTGGCGCATCTTATGTTCCATAAATGCATGCCATTTCCCGGCTGGTGAGTCAGAACTTGTATCAGGAATCACTAGTTGGCTAGGTCGCTACCCTATCGAAGGACAGCCAATGGGCCGCATCTAACCTGCCACAGTGGACCGCAACTTTCCGAAGGAACTCTTGGCCATGTCCAGGATATGGAAGTGGGAAATTGTTTGCCAAAAGCCAGTCCAAAGCGGAATCGGGATCCGGATGAAAGAGAAGAAAGTCTTGCGGAGGTAGGCAATTGTTCATCAAAAGCCAGTCAAAAAGAGATGTTGGTTCTAAATGATAGCGAATCATCTCAAGCCAAAGAGAAGAATCTTTCTTCACCACATCAGCAAGATATAGCTATGCCTCTTCGATACAAACGAGAGGCTAGGCCCATGCTTGCAAATCGGCAAATACTGCGGATTTCATCATCCTGGAGAATCTCTCCCAAATCCAGTGGCATTTGGTCGACCTTTTCCCAACAGATACAAAACACAACCGAGTTCGTCGCCGCGAGTTGAAGAATTAACCTCCCATCCCACATTTCTGCCACCGATGCAGGAGCAAGAAGATGGATCGGACTCATCGTAGAAATCATGTAACCAATCGTTTCAATAGCGCTTTCCTCAAAGGCAAGAAGGAAGAGGCTGTGTCCAAAGCTGTTGTAGTAGCATGACCGAATAATGCCTTGCCGGACCAGAAAGTGGAAGGCACCCGGAGACTCATAGATGCAGCACGAGGCAACATCGGGGTGTTCGTGCTCGCTTTGCAGGCATTCCTGGCTGTCCACAACTTGATCGAAGTCGGTGAAAAGTTTCCAATGAGCGATAGCAGACTTGCGAGCCCAGTCGCTTTGTAGAAAGATGTCCAAGCCAAAACGAAGATCGGGATCGGCCTTCTCATAGTATCTCAAGATATGATGCAGCGCTTGCTTCGATTTGAATGTGTCGGAGCAGAAGAGGCAGTCAATTTGTGACATGAAACATCGGTAGCTGCGAGCTCCATCGTCAATTTGAAGCCTTTCCTCGTTGAAGAATCGGTCGGTGACCTCCATGGAGTGATATCAATTACAGAGAAAAGAGGGTGATAGTAGATGGATAGATTACTCTCTGTCCCGGAAAGTATCATTTCATTTAAGCCATTTACCTCGCTCATTTTTCCTGATTTAGAAGCTGAATTTCGTCTTGGCGGCAGCTTTGCCGCCGGCAGCATGGGTGGACAAAACACCTTGTACCATCTGCCCAAGTCATCGCTTTGATCTTTGAAAGTGCGTGTAACTTTGGACACCCTAAGCCAAGTCTGATGAACACACAGGACTATTCACCGTCACGACTGTTTTCTCGATTTGGATTTCTCCACCGAACATCTTTGCTGTTTCTGATACTTTGATTTCGTGTGTTGCATGCCCATTTCGTCTGAGAAGCCATTGTTGGACTTTCTGGTTTATCCTGTCGCTTTTGAAGTAAATGGCCCAGTCTCATCCATTGTTCATCTAGGCATTTTAGTCAAAGGAGATCACCCAAAGGACATTTCATACCATACCAAAAGAAGATTCAATTTCTCTAGAGCAAATATTGCTGAAATGGCCAGAGTAGAGGTACTCATTTTTCTGTTTGTGGATAGGTTTGGATTATTAATAGCAGTGGTTGGGGGCCGGTGCTGGTTATTTATGAAGGAGTGCTCTATGATATCTGGAAACCAGATTTTGATCGGAAGTATACCAAGCCTTAACTTGCTTTCTGACTAGGTGGGGATAAAGAGAGGAAGGAGGTCTGAGAAACCCAATGTTGCAAATGAGGAAAGCCTCAAGTACAGAAAGGTGATCCGCAACTATAATCCCAAATATACATCTAATTCTGCGCTCACTAGAAATGAACTTACACTTTCAAGCCCAGAACTAATCTAAGAGTTTGCTATAACTCTCCACCTTGATGCAAATGTAATAGAAAGAACCTTGATAGGCTTTGAAATTTCGCAGCCATAGACCCGTCAAACTAGCGTTATGGCCAAAATAATATTTATGGAAATTGCCGACTCTCAATGGGTTATCTGATTCATTGATCAAAAACTGGGATCTCATTTCGCGACAAAGAATTAGTGTGATCCCTAGGTAACAGCTCTTTCTCGGGGGGACGGAAGCGATGATCTAGTTCCGGAGACCATGAATCATTGCTTCCACTTCCATTTTTTGTCACTCAAGCTCCTGAAAACGTCTTTCTTTTCCATGATAATGTCGCGGAGAGAGTCTGCCTCCATTTGTAGGATATTGTCACGAGAAAGGCATGTAACTGGGTCGTGATCGTCTTGGGGCGTTGTTACGGACCCTGCGACATGAGGGGCCGCAGCTCACAGATGGGCCACCGAGAGCCAACCGTTCCTAGGAAAGGAACGCAGGATCGAATCACGTGACGAACGGCCGGAATCAGCCTCTGATTCACCGTCACAATCTATACCTAAAAATATATCAATTATAGAAGATTATAATAAAAATGGTGACAAAAACCCTATCTCAAGGAGTTTCACCACGGCAATCATCCATTTGAGGTCGGGTTGTCTGTATTGTCGACCGCGAGCCTATCAGCAAATCTGACAGGAACGTAAAATAACTTGGTTTGAGTTCCTTGTTTGGATATAATTTAATTGACTGCTCAACAGTCTTGAATGAGTTGCCGCAATGGATTGAGCAACATCATCGATCGAACATGGTTGGCATTATCAGGCTGCCTAACCTCAGGCGGTAAGTCCAATTCGTGCAAATGGTACTGAAGGAAGGCTTTTAGCAATGATTCAGGAAGCGTTCAATATTCTTCTTCCCAGGAAAGATTTAATCAAATCAATTGATGATTCAATGGAGGAAGAATGGGATAGAATGTGGGTGATAGACGGCCCAGCTCAAAAAGCTGCCCGCAACTCAGCCCATCGCATGGTTCCCACCACCAAGCAGATGCCAGCTATGGTGCAGTGCGGAACAGATCCGCACAGCCCCCATCCCCATCTCACAACAAAGCCTCTTTTGTAGTGTGAGTTGCTAGATCGATTAGGCTTCCGCAGAACACTTGTCTGCCACCAGCCTCGTCTTTGGTAAGTCAATTCTCCCAGTCAGTCTCCTGGAATTATAGTGGACAAAGGAAGTTGGGTACTATACAAGGTAATATGAGCCAATTAATACCATGAAAGGCTCACATGCGCACAAACCTTTCGTGAAATGATTGGCTGGTTCCCAGCGGTGGCTCCTAGGATCTAGCGAGTTGTCGAGATTAATGCTATCATTGGATACTACGAATACAATGATATCTGCCAGGGCAAAAATCGGCGCCGTCAATGATCCACAGGCACCACACAGACTCAAGTAGAAATAACTGGTCCGAATTTGGCTGTGAGCTCCTGGGAACCTGTGGCTTATACTGCCTCTGCCTTCATTGGATAGTGATCAGCGGGGTAATGTTTCGTATTGGGCATGTCTGTGTCGTTAATCACTGGGGAAGGGGAAATTCTCCGCTTGTCTCAACGGCGCTTGTCTCTTCGGCGCTCAGAAAGGTGATTCAGAAAGGCGATTCAATTTCAGAAAGCGCCCGAACTTCTAGCTTCTACTACCCATTTGACACTCAACCCCAATTTTGGTGATTCTTTTGGTTTTTTCATCCTGCAAGTGGTTGCAAATTCAGCCCTACTACCTCAACAAAGTTTTTGCCTGTTAGAGAGCTCAAATTTGTCACCTTCCATAATAAATTTAAGTATAGTACTGCAAGCAGATATTTTACTGGGGTTTAATTCCTATTTGCTCTATAAATTTAATCGATCTCCTCATCACAACCGGATATCTCTGACGAGCAAGGCCTTTACCAACAGTACCTTGCAAAACAACTCTTTCAAATTTCCTCTCCACTCTCCATCGTGATTGCAACTGACAGTATGCGCCTCTTAATCTTTCCACTACTTGCTGTTTTCTATGCAAAGCACTCTAATGCTGGCACTCTAAGCATTGTCGATGTTGGTAGCCAGTGCATGATATGGTCGAATGATAACCACGGCTGCACGGGACATTCGACACCATTTAGTCTGCCAAATGGAGAAGACTGTTCGAGTGAGCAATTCAATCTAATAGAAAAATGATAAGGAGACTAACAGGCTATTAGAACTAGGCCGAAAAACTAAGGGCGAGAGTCAGAACCTTCCCATGGTCTCGGTTGAAGCATGCACTACGGCAAAAGGCCTGCCAGCGGTATGGATCTTGTTGGAGAAAACCGGGCGGATCACTTTCTTCAACAAGCAAGGAAACATTTCGGCCTGTACAATGAGCGATGGACTCAAAGTTGGTAGCATGTGTGAGGCTGTGGATCCAGAAGTCCTCCGTGCTTCAACTCTACATTGAGAAAATACTCTACTGTCGTCCATCCGTATCCAACTCTCCAACTTTATTATTGTGAGAAACATCGAGCCGAATGTGGTGTGGGCTTACAGCGACAGGGAAACCTTTGATATGAATTGGATGCAGTGCTGCTCAAACAAATTCATTTCGAGATCAGGTAGCCGTTGGAGACAGATTCTAGTGGTTCGCAAGAAGCGAGCCCTCCAATGTACATTATGCAATACATTGGTCGTATAATCACCTCGTAAATAGTACAAGCTATTTACAAACTGAAACTAAATATTGTCAGCTGTCCTATCGTGTACGCTTGACAGGTGAAAGAGAGCATCCCAAACGCAGTAGCCCATACCCTGGGAATTCCGCCTAGAAGAAAAGTACCTAGCAGTAAAGACAATACTATGAATGAAGTCGGACAATACGCAGTTTTTTCGGGCCCTGCATGAAGTGTTTTACGACATCATGTAGGACAGCAATACAATACAGTGCCATGTCATTTCATTCGGATGGTGCAGGAAAAGCAAGGTAGAGATACAGAGCTACCACCCTCTTCAATCTTCATATTTCATTCGTCTTCAAAGTCACCTCTTTCTATTCGACCTGTTTTGTAATTGTGAGATGGATGAGTAGCTGTCCATGTGACAGCTATTAGCATCGAGTGAGAAACCCGAGGCTAGAGGGAAGTTAACACACCTTCGGCGATACTCCATCTTGGCCAGTTGGAGGACACCAAGCCCCCCCGGACTGAAGCCCAATACGCCAAGCGAAGCGGCTGTTCCTCAACCAGATATATCTGGATGGTGGCAACCCAAATGCACTAAGAGCCGATGGCTGTCTCTACTGGGCTCACCCAACACGACAGGCGGGTGCATATCAATCCGTTGACTTCACGCGACGCAGCGCATCGGCCCGACTTGATCGCGTCGGGCGCAAAAATGATGTTGGACCTATAGAAAAAAGAAACATTAGCGATTCGTTCTGTGTGACAATGGACAAAATACCGACCGAATCCAATTCTTTCTCTCACAGTCAGCAACAAAAATAGTCATGCGCCTGGATGGACTTTTTCTGCTGGCGACAGTGGAGGATCGGTGAGTATTGCCAACTGTAGCGAATCGTAAGCCCGAGGTGACCGACCAAGAAGCCTCACTGAAAAGATCCTACCAACCGGCCATCGGAGAGCTTTCGATGATAGTTGTAGTATTGACCCAAGATGCGCGGCTGCTTGGGGCGCGATCGGTCATACATTGTCACCAGAGAGGACGGGGATGATCTGCATAATTATCTATTCTCCCAGCTGAAAAATATCCCAAAAATAGACCAGGCACAGACATCGATTGGATTCGTTGGAAAACTAGCAATAGGGCCAATTATCTAGGAAGCTATGAAGTCAGCGTGGTGTCAAGTGCCGGCATCTATGCACATACCTGCCATGATGTAGGTCTCCATCGAGCGTCGGTAATCTAGAGGTGATGTCTCGAGCATCAGTATTGTCACTAGTACGATGGATCAGGTTCCGTACCAACAGGAAGAAACTCTAAGGTGAAAGTCAAATTCCGAAGCAAACCTGTGCCACTACCTAGCAAAACATATAGGCCGAGGTTGATATGTGGAATCGCATCAGCACAAAAACGGGTATGGCGGAAGAGAAACTGCTTATATCTTAGACTGGGCTGACTGGGGTGTTTTCGAAATGATCGTTGTGCTGGGCCCGGGGAAATTCTTATAGACCTGCAGCCGCCATGTCGCTCGTGCAGCTGTGATCAAGGTTCCGACCAAATTGACCCTCATTTTGTGGCCTGTTGAACTGATTCACTATTGAGTGTATGCTGTTGTGGGTGGCACCACGATTTTCATCTCGATAAAGATCTATTCTGAGGTCATATTCCACGCCCTCAACGTCGCTTCAACGTTCGTGACGCAGTCACCACAAGTCGAAACACCAATGAGGCGCCGTGTCAACATTCATAAACACCAATTTCTACCGTTCAAAATACACACTGGCTACTTCTTCTACATAAGGAAGTCCCAGTCAGCTTGTTCTCAACGATGGTGATTGCTCGTTTCGATGATGAATCTCTGACGACCAACGTCGCATAAACTGATTCGGTATGCGGACTTGTCGACCGGGCTACTTTTAATGATATTGTTAAGTGTTTCACTTTTTCTACCTACATTGGAATCAATTTATCGTCTCATGAGCTACTCATAAAGGGTCAATTTTTAAAAAAGAAAGGAAACTCGTATTCCTGAGCCCTGCAAGTAACTCTGATTTACGAAGACAAATTTCCCAGCGATTAGCATGGTCAAGCCGAACGCAAGTGAGGACAAGTAAGCAAGGATTGACAGCTAGATGCAGCTATTTTGAGTGTCCGTTGAACCTTCCATGGAACCTCTTCTGAAACAAGCAATTAATGAAGCTGCGATCTTTTTCCGCTCATCCCTTTTGCCGGTTGATTTTGGGTGATTATCCCGGGCCGCTTGCTAGACCGGTACCAAGAAACACGATGCACCGAACCAGCCGCCTCAGGACCTAAAGAAACACCACCGAAGCCCGTAATAACGATGCTTGAGATGTGTAGCCCGCACTATTTATGGCCTTGCGAAATACGATTCCCATCCGAACCCCTTGGCGACTCCGCGACTATTAACCTCCCACACAACACTAAGCATTGCCAGCAGGTAGCATCGATACAATGTCCTGGAGCAATTTGCCAACCCTGTCTAGCCATTGTTGGAGGATGCACCTCACGAAAAGGACTGGAAGATCATCCCTCATGATCTTTCGGGGAGATATAACCCTTGGAATACCGCTTCCGTGCCTCCCTGGGCATGGCACCGTACTCGCTTCACAAGGAATTACCTCGAGAGAATCGGCTCGCTTTCGATGACAGGCATTGCCAGATAGGGACCGAGAGTACATATGATAGGCCAAAATTGCTCAAATTTTAACAGTTCACCCTCTCGACAAACGTGGCTGCATTGCGAGATACAAGTAGATTTGTATGCTCATTCGAGGTTCTCTTAACTGGCAGCGCTTCACAAGAACAAGGGCCTTCTGGGAGACTTGTCCTAGAAACGGAGGCCTCTCAAAAGAAGATTCTTATTCTCATCAGCTCCCCAAGAAGAAATTCTTAGGAACCAATGACTCACATGAAGATCCTGGTTGTACCGCGCACCGCCGGGCAAATAGGTTCATCGCTCTCCTGCACGTCCCACAACGCGAGCGGCCATTGAAATCAGTTTCTCCTCCTTCCCTATTCCTTCTGTAGCCGCAATGGATTTCTCTTCGTGGGCGGAAATCAAGAAGATCGCATTGGTATCATCCGCTGTTGCTGCGCGGTAACAATGGGCTGGACGAAGGCTCTTGAGGTTCACATCGTAGAGTGTATATCCTTTGCATGAGTACTTTCGTGCGAGCCGCTCTATAGGTGAGGGGTTGGATGGGTCTACGAGGAGACAGTCTGATTGATTCCACTGACCTCGTTCGAGTGACCAGAACTTGATATCTATAAGCCGTTGTGTAGATGCTTGGCAATTGGGGTCGGCATTTCTTGTTCGGATGTGCTCGGCCTCTCTGTTTGTTGCTTCCGCTTGCTGATCAGCAGAGATTGGCAGTAACAAATTCTGAGTGTGACCTGATTGAAGCAAGTCTCTGGGTGAAGCTTGATTATGATAGAGCATATTGAGCTCTTCATTGAGCCGGTCGCTCTCCATCCTTTTTTCCAACTCCTCTTGCTCCACTTGGGCCCTCCTCAGGCCATCGAGAAAAGTTTCTAATTCTTCAGACCTAGAGGCCCGGATCTCTTCTGACAATATTACCGTTTCTGAGGAACGTCGTCGCTGTGCTGCAGGATCAGCAATTCCGAGCGCAGATCCAGTGTCTGGACTGGGTTCCTCTCCTGTTGCTCGCTCGCCCTGACTCCATTCGAGTGAGACGGTTTCCAACGAGATCTGGGTGCATTCACTTCTAGCATCTCCAAGCTCTGGATTAGTCCCAGGCGAGTAGCGAGAAGGGATTATTTCCAGCACTGATTCGCTCAGTGACCCTCTGGGAGTAGAGTGATCTCCATCCGATGGACTTCTCTGATCAAAGATTTCCTGATCTTGAGCTGGCTCCAGAAGATCTAATTCCATAGGCTCAGGTGTAGTTTCTGAATTGCCGATCTCACGAGAGAGTAGCTGGCGTGTTGAAGTGTTGCTCCTTCCGAGAAGAGATGACCTGCTTGACGCGCCCTTGTACCGTGCAGACGTATTCAAGCCCGGAACACGGTCCTTTTCAACAAACAACGGCGATTCCACCTCCTCTTCTATCCCTTGGTCTGCATTCAAATCGCCGCATCTTCTGTTATTGATGGGATCAACCCTTGGCGACTTCCCCAAAAAAGCGAAAAAGACACAACGCCGAACAAAAAAGCTAGTGATTGTGTCGGCGACATCGACATCAGCATGCAATCGATCTAAGAACAACAAAGGGGCATCTTGCACATGGGTGCGGGTCTGCGGAGCCCCAGAGCGAGCGTGCGCCTTGACGGTGCTGTCTGCCAAAAGATCTCGCGGGGGACCGGGCTGATCGGGCACAGCTTCAATAAAACAATCTACAATCCGGCGCACCAGAATATCAAAGTGCCGGTCATCGTATCTAAACTGGCCTGGCTTTCGGGCCTTGAGAAGGGCAGATCGTGCAATTTGGTGATCCGGAGAACTATTCAGCAGCCCATCAATTTCTGGGGACCTAAACCCGAGCTGATGAGCAAGATGGGCCATGTCGTAGATCGCGCGCGGGTCCGGCTTGGCGCGAGTGGGGTTGGCCAACAGATCATCAGAGTTCTTGGGGTCCGGGGGCATCAAAGGATAATGTCGCATAGCATACAGCCATAATTGTTGGTATCCTGTCTCGAGGCATTCTGTCTCGGTCACATGAAGGCGTCGAAAGGTAGACTCCGACGTCTGAATGATACACTCCCTTTTCTCTCGGTGATCATCCTCAGACTCCGAGTCTAGATCAAAGATCGAGCTCATGGCTTCCCTCACAGATCGGGGTGATGGACCCAAGAGCCGCTTCAGACAGTGAGCGCAACTCTCTAGATACTTGAAATCCTCAAAGAAAGTGTACAAGGACGGGATGAGACCATTAAAATCTTTCATTTTAGCCCATATAGCATTTCGCTCATTAGCACTGAATTCGGCAAACACATGTCCACTGAGAACCAGCCCGCATGCCTTCCTTTCATCAGTGCGTGATTTACCTGGTGCCAGTAACTGCAGGGTGTGAACCGTATCCTGATCGATTTTCTTCATCAGACGCCGATCCGATCCGACCAGAGAAGACCAGAAAGCCAAGATGTGTCCAAAATAGGTTCCTATCTCCTGAGAGATGGAGAGTCGTCATTAGCTAGAACAAAACAGCAACTTGAGCTGAAACTCACCTCAATGCAGCCCGAAGCGATCAATCGATGAAGTAGGCTGATTCTCATCCCGCCCGGCCAAAGCCCGGGAATCGCCAACAATCGGTCAAATGCATGCCGGAGACGACGGTTCTTTTTATTGTCAAGTTGATCCAAGCGCTCTTGATTGCTGGGCGACAGTCTCACGAACCATCGCTCTCGGAAAGCTTCGTTACCCTCGCCTTCATACTGTCTGATCTTGCGATAGACTTCCCCGTCGGTCGGCTTCTTTTGATTGGAATATTCATCCACCAATGCGGCTCTCAATTCTTGGCCGATGTCTTATTGAACGGTCAGTATCGATCTGTGGGAACGCCCGGGTACGTCACGTACCGTCTATGTAGAGATCAACCGTCCACCAGCGATCCGCCGGGGGAAGTACCTCAACACCAGCTTGTACACGATGACGGCCATGGAGACCCCGAAGTTGCCCCGCCATAAATTCCAGCCGAGGAATATGTTGACCTTCAGTTGTCAGCAAGGATTCCTGTGGAACATTCGCCTTCTCCAATGCCTCCGCGAGGTTATGTCGAGACACGGTCGCGGGAACATGGTTTTGGACATCTAGGCGGCGACAGCGATTCTTACGGAAAATGTTTCGTAGCCGGTCCAGATTTTTAGGGTCCAAGTCCCGTGGTAAGGGAGGTTCGAATTGAATCTGGCGGATGCTGACTTTAGCTGCACCAATGTATTTAATTCGTCGTTCTGCTGCCAGCCGCACCTCTTGCTCGGTAAAGACGTGTCGAGTCATGGGGATAAATATGAAGATGTGGTTCAAATTGACTTGGTTGAGCTGATTGTGGATTTCAATATATTCATGGCTTCCATTGTTGAGGTGGATCAACGTTGGCACTGCGTTTCTTTGCCGGTGAAGATGTGATTCAACACCCTTGTGTTCCACCCGTACGAAATACCCATTTAAACTGACCAATTCTCTCTTTGCGTTTCACGCTCCTCTTTCTGCTTTCAACTCTTTGGCCAAATTCCTTCCATAATGCGAAAACTCGGCGAAAAAAGAGTGACAAGAATCCAGGCCGCTCAAGTTGCATTGCTCCCCCAGCCGCAAACCCGAGCAGAAGTATCACCGGTGACTGACCTCGAGCCCGGTCCACAACCTCTCCATCTAGGACCCGCACCTGGAAAGAGGTCCATCACTTCCTCAACTTCGGAGCACACCGGCAAGAAAACTCGATTGATGCCACAAAGCTCGCCTCGCCAGGAGACTATGCAGTGGCAGAGCATTATCGGTTCGGGCCTGACAGTCCGAGACGAATCTCCTTGGGGTACTTTCAGAAAATACTACGATTGTGACTTAGCTGGCCCAGTCGCGGTATGTGTTAGATCATCTGGAGACCGCGGCATCTGGGCGGTGCGCCAGTATCCAATCGAGGACGCTGACAAGATTCTGCGATTCCTCCGCTCCATGCGCCATAGGAACCTGGCCTCCATTCGGGAGTGTTTCCGCACTCCGGAACTTCTGTACACACTGGGGGGATTTCGACCCTCTCGTTCTGGATCATATCGTCGCTTGTAAGGCCTTCCCAGACGAGCAGGAGCTGGCAGCCATAATGTCTCAGGTTTGTTCCTCATTTCCTCTCACCTACCTGCCAGGCGGCCAAATGGCTGATTATGTACAGCTCGTTGACGGGCTGTTATATCTCGTGGCGAACAACTTCCATCACACATCTCTGGACTGTTCTAGCGTCATTGTGAATCTCAATGGGCAGGTCAAAATCGGTAAGTTTATTCCACTTCTACCTTCCCACTCAATCTCACCTAATCAGGCACGGTAGCACGGATCGATTGCTGTGTGTTCCGGCAAAGAGGCAGAGTCGATGCCAGTGACCTGGTACCAGTCTCGAAAATTATGATGGAATTGATGCAAAAATATATCAAAGAAGATGGGGCTGTAGGCATCGATAATCTCGACCGCTGGAGAACCTGCCCGGCTGCGATCGAATTTCTCTGCGCCACAACCTCGGCAGGCTCTTTTGAGGAACTGAAAGAGGTTTGTTTCCCTCGGTTCTTTTCCAAAATATTCTTTTAAACGGTCCTAATGGTATCTAGCAACGACTGTTGACGGAAATCTCATGCTGCCCAGGGAATCTCATCGGAATTGCGTGGTTCGCGTTGATCTCTGCTCGCACATTCTACTCGTACACGCCAAGGCCCATGAAGAAAGATTAAAGCAGAAATAAAGTTTCCATACAACCACCCTCTGCTTTGTTGGCCACAGCAGCAATAATTCGACCGATAAAAAAATTCATGCACGGTACGGTAGCTGACTGATCTTCCCGTTCCCATGGTTCAAGCTTTTGTTCCGTCTGCTGTTAAATAATACCCGTTTTGGTTTTGATAGAAAAATTCTAAATTGATTGCATTGTAGATCAAGGTCTAGCCGCTGTTTTTCCGTGTAATGCCTGGCCGTAGTCAGTTTATGATTGACAAAGTAGTTCACATAGATTGGCTGATCAGGGAGATCTAGCCATCAGATAGGCAATGTTTCCATTGTAGATTGTATTTCGATCACCCAATATCACATTCTTACTACTTTGCAAGTGCATAGAAAGAGACTCCAACTGGCATTATATGCTCGCGTCGACTCATTGCATTTGCTGCACGCGATCTCCCTATCATTTAATTACTCCGGCTGATATTCCAGCTCCGAAAGTCTCACGCCACGATGCAAAAAGCCCTTGACTGTCTTTCGGATCTGGTCTCTGAGACTTCCTGCTGCTGATACTAGAAAGAAATTAGTATACGATAGAATAGAGCCAGGCTGTGGTAGAGTCACTTACCCATAATTAAGGTTCGGCCTTGTTCATCGCGGATGTTCGGTAATCTCTCGATCTGGTCTCCCGATGCCTCGAGCGAGACTATGCTGTCATAATCGGGTACTCCCTGGAAAAAGCAGGCTCTTTCATGTTTTCCTATTGGCGTCTTATCATGAGCAAGCCCTTTTTCGACGTAGATTGAAATGCTGAGAATCTGTAGACGTTTTACCATCAATATCAACGAAGTTTCCATTTTGAAGCCTGTGACTTACATAGCCTTTATCTATGATATCGTCCTCCAGGAGGGGGTTCAGTAGGTCCTCGGCTGCGCTAACCATTTCTAATTTGTTAGTGCTGGTGCTGTCTGACTGAAAGCGGAAGGGTCTTCTCACCAATTGATTCTATCTGCCATACCAAATGCAGACGACGGACATGAAGTGTGCAGGTATTATATCCATGTATCATCTTTTTCAGATAGGGGATTGTTACCGCAATCCCGAAACCACTTGCAATCAGTAGCACGGTTTCAAACCCGTCAACAATCTCACTAGTACCGTGTGGACCTGTGAACATGGCCAGAAATGGTACAGGGCAGCCAGGAGCGCCAGCGGCAAGACTCAGTAAGTCTGATGTCATGCCACCGCGTGGCTGCACAAATAGCTCAATCGTATCATGTCTTCCGCGCGACCACGATGTAACTATGAAAGGGTGCGTTTGAAGCCACGACCAAGATCCGACGGACGGCATCCACAGGTTGATATACTGGCCCGCATCGATCTTGATAGATCTGGGCAGAACCAGACGAATGTGGGCCGCTTTTCTTAGCTTAGGATATGTCAGAGATCCTTCTGGGGTGAAGGATACAAAGGCCCGCGGAGCACCGTTGCCCGAAAATAGCCCGTTCGTGTAACATAAGTTGACAACCTCCAGGAATGTAGTCAGGGCCAGAATTACCAGCGGCGCGTAAAGGTACAGTCTTGGCAAGCGACTCTGATCTGGGAGATGTCGCCACGTGCCATACACAAATAGAGCAGTCAGGGCTTGGTGGCTTCGGAGGAAGACTTCATAGCACCGTCTACGAAGCCAGGGGAGGGAGATGAGGGCGAGGGTGGCCAAGGAAACTGATCCCTATCATGGTTAGTCCAAGATTCACGACAGCGAGAAGGAAACTTACAATCAGGGTAAATATGTTATGTATTGCCCCAAGAGGAAAACTGAATCCCCGGCTCTGGCATTCCGCAACCACATGAAAAGAAAGCAGAGCAACAGACATCCAACCTGTTGCCTGGTGAATCTTACAGCAAGTGTGCCAGGTGATACCCAGAAGGTCAGCTAAGTACCCAAGGTGAGTGGCCGAGAGGGGAAAAATAAGGTTGATGAGAGCCAGCTCTCCGGCTCGACGGCCAGCCTGGGCGACGGAGTGTGTATGGAAGAATACCACAATGATATTGACCAAAGTGTAGGCAAAATAGATGAGAACATTCAACCGGGACCAGGGGCCCCAAATACGATGCCTGTGGACGAGAGCAGGAAGTGTGAGGTGCCGAGAGATCAGAACAGAGCAGGACTCGATCCAGCCAATCATAGTGGTTCGGGTCTGGATGAGGAAGAGAGCTAAAAAGCAGCCTCCCGCAGCGATTGCATAAATCGATGACACATCCATCCTTAGCGGGATCTCCATTTACAATGGACCTTGGAGGACGGTATATGAGGGGAGAGCGGACTTCTTTTAAATGAAAGCCATTAGCCACGACATCGTCATGTCCCTATTAGCGACATCTTGCAGTGGAGGCGGAAGCATCAGGAACAAGAAGCATAATACTTCAGAGATCCTCGACTAAGTGTTTTCGGTGTCAAATTTCCCAGCTTCTGCAGAATTCAAAATGAATGAGCTGCCGTTGAGTGTACTGGGAAGAGACTGTGTCAGATAATGAAGGCTATTTAAGACTCACAAATACATCCCTTCTCGCTCTGAATCAACAAATCAGAATATTCAAGGGAATAATGGAGTGGAACAGCCATAAAAATGAGGTTGTTCCTTCTTTCCGTTCAATATATTGTGAGGTTTTTGGCGATTCTCGGCGATTCTGAGCGCGCAACCTATCTCACATAATGACAGGTCCATTCCTAGCTAGCACCGAAGGTGCTGCACGAAAGCATTCGCTTAAACATAGAGGACCGTATGTGACAAGCAGCCTGAATAGAGCGATAAATTAAAAAGTGAGTGCAGTTAGTCAACGGATGTACGAAGAGACTCCGCATTGTGTGTGCTCAGGAGGAGGCAGGGGTTCGGCTTAGCACTTTGAAACGTGCGAGTTGAGCGGCGAAATCCTCACCCCTTAATTCATAATCATATTTGATGCATTTTACTGGCTACATTAACACTTGTGAATGTATTGCATGGCTCTAGGCTGGACAGTTGCAGTCTGCATCTACGTTTCTAGTCTCGGCGTATACAATAGTGTGGATTTCGCGTCTAACTTCCATAGGAGGACCGCTCATAGCTCAGTATTGATGGGAGACAATAATATGATAGCACACAAACAGAAAGATAAATTTCCCTTGCTATTTTCCGTCATTTTTCTTGAAAAAAACTCCTTGCGATTCTCTTGCCATAGTAACGGGCTCGAGGAAGCGTGACTTGAATCCTGGGAGTAGGATGAGAAGTATGCAGAAACAAGGTATCCTGTGATTCCTCAGTCAGGGTCTAAGTATCCAACGTGCAGTCGAATCTGTAACCATCGTAACCCATTGGAACCCCGGCTGGCGTCAACTCGCAGAGGAAACCTGCGAAATGACCCCCGACAGATACGTGTCATCCACGGCCCTCGCCTATGATTTCCGCTCCAGGCGCTATCGTGAGTCTGATATGTACAATCAAAATATTTCTACTAATTCTGAATAGCTTCCCTTGAATACCCAAGATGGAACCAAGCAGGATCACGTTTCTATCATATATTTTAGCAAATCGAGGAGCAGGTATCGCTACTTGAGAGTCAGCAACAGAATCTCATTTCTGAACTCGAACGTCTGCGCAATTATTCATGGACCCTGTACAATGAGTACAATAAGACAATGAGAGAGCTAGAACGGGCCAAAATGCACCAGTGATCTGAACGTGGATGACAAGAGACTATTCATTGCGCCGTAAAAAATGCTCTATTTGAAGACCATGAGGCACTGTCAGCAGAAACTCCCGATACTATCTCATTTCAATTTCATTCGTAATTGATACAGTACATTTTTTGAATCACGAGTTCCAATAGGTTTCTCGAAAGAAACCCAGTCGGGCTGTGCATCTTATACTCCGATTGAATCTTCCATGAATTTTACGATATACTGTGACCAGGTTTACTCAAGTTCTTGTATTTTGAACAAATCCGCAAAGACTACACCTGAATTTCAACGGCCAATTCTTAATGTCGTCTCTATCTCGGGTTCAAAGGAGAGAAGACGTGGGTACATTGTGGACATATTTGTATCAGCCTTATCCAATTATGGGAGTTTTTATGGTAGGCTCAGGCTCCCAGGTGTTGTAGTTCAGAGGTATCAATTGTCTTATTGTTTCAGAGGGAAACATTAGGCTATATATATACAACGAGAAGAGCAAGTGGATTTCCAATCAACTTGGTTCTTCGTATAGATATCTCGGGATTAATTCCGATGGTTCGGCTTGGTTCCTGATCTGCACCAGCCTCATATCACAACACCAGGAGCTCACAGCCAAATTTGGGCCAATCATTTCTACGGGGGCTTTGTGGCAGACGTGAATCATTCATAGCACCGATTGGCTCATTCTTCCTCCGATCTATTATTAGTATCCAATGATCGCATCAATATTTACGAGCCACAGGCTCCTGGGAGCCATGGCCAAATATCCACCAATCATTTCAAATATGACTTGCGCGCATGTGAGCCATTGATAGCACTAATTGGCTGATATTTCCGAATAGTGGTACCCACCCTCCCGCATCCACTTTGCTCCCAGGTGATTGATGTGGGTAATGCCTTTGCAAAGATGCGGCTGGTCGCAGAGGTTTGATCTACGAAAACGTAATCGACCTAATATCCGACCCACTATACAAGGGACTCTGTTGTGATGGGGCTGTGTGAATCAGTCCCGCGCCGTACTATAGCTTGCATCTGCTTGGTGTTGTGTAGGTGTGCTTTCTTATCTCCGATATACGAGTTAGATACTGAGGAACATGCCGTTTGGCTGGTAGAGATCCAGGGCCGCAATATGGCATGGTGTTTGCCTCTCTTTGATGAGGTGTTCATTGGGTAGGGTGTCGTTGTCATCATTGGTGGGTGAAATGATATGACATGATCTGTTGCCGCCTCACCTGTCGCAATAACGTACGAGCCCATGGTGGTGAATGTTGAAACGGATCATCGATGTTTTCTGCGGCATGC